AAAAAAGACAATGGAAAAATCTTGTATATCTGATAGTACAATTATTCTTCTTTTTTTAATTAGTTCCTTAAAGGAAAATTACTTCATTAAAAACTCAAAATTTTATTCTAAATATCACCCTCATACTAAACCAGTGTTTACTTTAAGGCTCCCTTGTGGGTACTGGAGGCCTTCGGGGGCGGTAGAAGAGCCAAGAAAGATTTTGGGGCGTTTTAATAATTAAAAAAAAAATAACCACCTTTAAAATACTTAATCACTATATCACCGTTTACAATAATAAATTTCGTTCCTATTACTACCCTGTTTTTGATTATTTATCACGGCTTTCTCTGTACATTTGTACCAGATTCATTAAGTGAGTGTTAATTTTAATAAAAATACTTCTAAATATGATTTAAGTGTGCGTTTTAATTGCTCTAATTAAGAAGGCTCATTTAAAATGTAAGTTTGTTTATGGTACGTTCAAAAATAATAATTTCAATAGATGCTTTTAAGCTGTAGAAATAAGTTTAAGAAACCTGTATACTAAACAATATGTAATAAACCTCTTAATGTTAAGCAATAACAGAAGGGTTCCCTACAACATAAATCATACCTCATGGACATTACTGTTACATCATCGATATTGACATACCCTATGACAAAATACAACAGAAAGAATTAAACAAATATTAAAATAAAACAAGTTATCAATCTGGTATAGGTAACTAATTTTCATCTTCTTGTCAAAGCGTGTTAGTTTTCAAGAAAGTGGTTTAGTTTGCTTTTCTCCAAAAAAGAAGGCTTATGATGAATCAAGACAGTTTAAAATATCTGCCATACCAAAATTACTGTGTCTGCATCGATATAGAATGAAATATCCACAATTTTTAATTTGATGATCGGTATTCTTGAATAAAAAATTAACTTTTTGTATTATAAGCCTAAAGATGACCCAAAAACGTCGAAACTAAAGATAAAATATGTCTAGAAACAAGAATAGATGTTAATTTATTAAAATGAAGTGGGACCTGTAACGCATCTTAACAAGAGACATTTTAACAAAAAACCAAGACCAAGAAATTAAGGAAGACGCTTAAAAAGTGTTATAGAACGTTAAATGCAGGAGGTATGTGATATGATCAGAGATAACCAGGAGATGTAACTATTAACAAATATCGTGCGGCCGTGAATAAGACATATTCTAAGGGACACAGTAGGGTATATTCACAATATATTGTGGGTATAATATCCGCTGTTGTCATTGTTAGTAAAGTGTATGTATTAAAATATTCGCTCAAGAAAACGATTCACCTCCCACTCTTTTGTCACATAGCTGAATTTTTCACAGATGAAAGGTCATGATAAGGTAACCCTTTTTCCGGAGTTAATACAAAATTAGACTGTGCAGAAGGGCACTATCATCAAAAATCCAGATATTGATACCACCGAATAGAGAAAAAAATACTAATTTTTTGGTCAAATGCACAATAAAATCTTTGTAGGGAGTAATTGTTTATACTTATTTAAAAAAAATCATTTGCATTAGCACTTACGGCCGAAAAAAAATATAAACGTAAATATCTTGGTTTTAGCCCTTCAAAAATTTAGTTAAAAAGTCGTCTTTTTTAAATATACCACTCATTTAACAAAAAACGAAGGCCTAAATGAAAAAAAAAAACATTCTTTATAAAATTTTTGCTTATGTGTTGAGAAGGTAACAGAGTAAACACTATATTTTTTCCTTTTGAATTAACAAAGATATAACAATAAACGATGAGAGATGTCATAGGTTTATGCTGTAATTAATTCTTACCGTCAAATTTATCGACTCTCAGTGTATCTTTCTCTTCACCTTCAAACGTAGCATAGCTCTGTTTCTCTCTACGTGCGGGCTGATGTATCCATCGAGATAGTATAAAGTAGAGACGACATAAACACTATTTTGCGATATGACAAAATGGACTCACTTTAAGTGACAGAAAAGTGTAATCAAAATGGCGACTTGAGTCGTACTTTGATTTATTTGAAGTCAATAATTTTATATTTAAAGACTGACTAAATGAAAATAATTTTATATCATTATATGAAACTATTTAAAGAAAAATGGCATTTATTCTCACCAAAACTGACCAGCTACATTATCTCGAATTTGACATTGACGTAAAAATGTAATACAAAAGTGCGGACAATTTAGCATCGTCATAGCATCTCCTCTTTATTCTATCTCAATGGATGTATCACATTATTGATATGGTAGGATTTTTCATTTTTTTTATTATAAAACTTGTTATGTTCCATAGGGCAATGTGTCATATTGTTATCTGTTTTTACTAAAGAATTAATAAGTGTATGTGTTATATATTAAATTACCTAATAAATTGGGAAAAAATATAGACATTTTTGCATCTTTATTATATCTACATTCATCCTGTTGCAGCTAAATATATTTGGGTAAGTTATAAGTTTTCGTTTAAAATTTTAATTACGGATTTGTTGCTGCAAGTAGCAGAGACAAAAATTATATCAAAATAGGAAAGCCCAAAAGTTGCATATCATTTAAAGAATATGCTCATATATTTGTAAACATTATTTTTAGAAATAAATTAAATACTCAAATGATAGATGTGGTATTTGATCATTATAAAGGACATTCTATCAAAAATACAACACGTCAAAAGAGAGGATTTCAGAAATAAATTGATATAGAAATTGACCGACCCAATATTCCACTTCCGCAACAATAGAACTTGTTTATTCATTAGATATTTAACAAAAGACGTTTAACACATTTTCTGCCAGAGCAACTTCTTCAAAACTCCATTCAGCAAAAGCATATTCAATTTCTAACTAGTGGTGGATTCGCGAAAATCAATAAATATGGAAAGAATTTTGAACCATCAAAAGACGATTTTTTTAAATTCAAATCACGAAGACGCTAATAATCGTATCTCATTGCACATATTGTCAGCCAAAAATTCGGTGCATTCACGCTGCATTATTTATTGCAACGATACAGATGTCTTATTAATTTATTTTAAGAACTTTTTGACTAAAGATATATGGTTCAGAACAGGGCGAGGAGACTCAAGACGATTTCTAGCAGTACATTATTTAAATTTTGATGAAAACCTTCTAAAAAATATGCCTGCTTTTCATTCTGACCGGTTGTGATACAACCATTTAATTGTCCGGCATTGGGAACAAAACCTGTTGGAAAACCTACCTTGAAAACCATTACTTTTTGGATGGATTTGGCACTGATCAGTACTCTGAAAACATATTCTCTAATCTTGAAAGAATTTTCCTAAAAATGTATTCAAAACTGCCAATGTTACTTTCATTAACATTTTGAGGGGATTATTGACCTCTTCAAAAACCATCGCTAAATTACCACCGACTGAAGAAGCCCTAAAACTACATTGTTTAAGACGTTTTTACCAGCTAAATATTTGGCTAACCTCTTTAAACCCAGATGCAGCTTCCTAATGTTGAAGAGTATGGATGGAAAGTAGATCAAGATGGAAGTCTGATACCCACTTTTAAGACTCTGCCCGACCTGCCACCAGACATAACAGAACTTACATCATGCAAATGCAAAAAACATACTATACAATATTCTAACAATAATATTCTGTTCTAGACTGTGGAAGCAAAATTTGCAAATGCAGGAAAAAAAATATTTACTGTATCGGTTCCTGCACCTGTATGGCACAGAAAAACTGCAGAAATAGTTTGACCACAGCCGCTAATGTTTTGGAAAATGTTGATTCGTGTGGTGAATCTGATTCTGATTAGTTTGAAAGTATTGTAATTATATATTTTAATATTATTAATTTATGCTTTATATACTTCCTTCCAATTATTATTATTATTATAATTTATTTATATTGGGGATTTATTGTATTTTGCAAAGCAATAGCCTTACTGTTTATAATTGATACTTCAATAAATACCTTTAATAAATAGTTTATATTTTCTTATTTTCATTTTACATTAAAAATAAAAAAGAAATCTTGAAGTAATTAGTACATTAAACATGGTGGATAAATCAATAATCCCTGTATAAAATAATATAAGAGGGGTCAAACTGATTGCATACATTTCAATACTGAGATAGATGCATAAAGAGTCGATATGCTCTGCCTTTAATGTTTGCTTTCTAGTAAAACCATAACATCACTAATGGTTTATTGCTATATTTTTGTTAATTTAAAAACAACAAATATGAGGAAAGTACTTTTACCTTGTCAATACATAGGCGAAACTTTTACAAAGAATAGTTTTTTTCATTTAGGCCTTCGTTTTTCGTCAAATGAGAGGTATATTTCTAAAAGAAGATTTTTTATACAAATTTGTAGACGGTTGAAACTGAGACATTTAAATTTTTTTTCGATCATAAGGGCTAATGTAATGATTTTTTTTTAAAATAATTATAAAAAAATACTTCCTACAAAGAGCATTAGAACAAAAAATAGGCATTTTTAACCAAATTAGATGTAATTTCATTAAATTAGATGTAATAATTTTCAACAAATTCCAAAACCTAGTGATGTTAAATTGGAAGTGGCAACAGGGCTTACACCGGCAAGAAAAGTTACGTTAAGTAGTAAAAGCTCGGGCAGTTATTCATTGATAAAACTATGTAAAATTCTTTACTGTATCCCTTCTTTTACTTCTCACCTTTCGTCGCCTCGCCCCGCGTCTAGAAATAGAATGTTTTGAGTGCGAATTGTTCTTGGCACCATGAATATTATATTTTATGAATGACTTCTTATATCTCTGTTATCTCTGGATATGATAGTATGTGCCTTGATGGGTGGGTAATCTGTAAAAAAATTTCTCCACATTAAATACCAAGCTGATAAAGATAAAGCGAAACAGGTAAAATATCATAACATCATCAGCTCATACCTATAAACAAACTATACTAAAACAAATATTGAAACTGCAAATACTACCAAAAACGTTAGATAGAACCTTAATAAATGAGACTTAATAATGGGCTAAATGGAATACAATTAAAATTCAACGTCCCTACTAGCCTGGTAAGCATATATTTCAGTGATCATATGTTGCACTCTCAATAAATTCTGGCAAGGTTGGTCCTCTTCTAACTCGTAATACAATCTCTTGCTTTCCGTTAAAAGTTCGTCTTGCAGTTTCTGGTTCGATTCGGTGCCGTCAAAAATGTTTTGAGAAACTTTCAATATGAACCACAGGGAGAGATCCTTGCCTATTGGCAAATCCATTATTGTAGGCCAATTGTGGGTACAAGCCTTGCAATCACAATTAAAGAAGTAGGTTTTCTTAAGAATCTCTTGTCGAGTAGCTTTTGGTGTTCTGTAGAAATAGCTTCTATATAGAAAAATAAAAAATATACATTCACTAATAGTCCAAGATCGGTAAGTAAGGTCGACCTTCATCCATCTGTTTAATGGATAAAAGTTTTTTTTTATTAGATAAAATATGTTTTTAAATATACCGCAAATGGGTTGCCTAAGAAAATACGGTCACGGCTATTTTTTGCTTTCCTTTCTGTGTACAGATAAGGAAAGTATAGAAATCATGATAAAAGTTGCTTATGATGTCATTATCTATTATTTTGCCCCTATTCATGATTTCCCTAAAATGAACCTAATTCGAGATATTTGAGGAAAAGTGCAAATTTCGAATTTTGAAGACAACTCAAAAACGGATAAAGAAAACCACCAAATTTTAAACTTAAGCTTTAATCTATCCTGTGGTGAACTGATTAAAGTTTGGGCATAGTCGAAGCATCTGGGGAATACTTTACAGGGTGTCGTTTTTCTTAGGCAACCCTTTTGCGGTATATTTATAAACATATTTTATTTAATAAAAAGAAACTTTCATCCATTAAACAGATGAGTGAAGGTCGACCTTACTTCAGATCTTAGACTATAAAGAAATTTGTAAAGTAGTTAAAAATTTAATCTAGTGGTTCCCAAACTTTTTTACGATACTCCCTCTTTTAATAGAAATAGGAACTACTTTTAATACAATACAAATAATGAAAATTTAATTAATTTTAATCACTTAAAAGCTATTTTTGAATGCCCACCTCTCCAAAATGATCTTAGAAATGTATTACAACAAATATAAAATAATTTATTGTCATTAAAAGTGCTTGGAGAAGATATAGAAAAGTGCAGACTTTAAGAGTATTAGGATAGTTTTAAAATTACATATAAATAAATGAACAAATCGCAAAGAGACACATATAGATGCATCTAACATCTAGGTGTCTCCAAGATTAATAATTGGTTGTAACATAATTATGTAACTATTTTAGTATTTTATAAATAAATAAAACAGTAACAAAGCTTACTCACGACACGAGGCTAATAACCTAAGTAGCTGAAGCAGTAATAATTGAAGAAGTAATAAAAAAATAAAACTTATTTATTTAAAAAAGTAACATTTGTAATCACTAGTCTAATCTAAAGTGAAGGGTGGTGCTGCATTATTTTTATTTGAATTTGTCAAATATGATTATTTTGTCATTTTATAGCTAAAAATAATATTTTTCATTAATATTTCAGGGCACTTGTGAGCCTCAATATTGTTTCGCTCACCTCAGTTTGGGAACCACTTTTCTCATATAAAAAGTTTTTAGAAATTTTTAATATTTTTAAATTGTTTTTTTTTTTGTATTTTTGCTTTCCTAACTGTATACAGATAAAGAAAGATAGTAATAAAGATTTTTGTCGACGGATTTTTAAATTTTGGGGTCCTTTAATCCGTTTTGACTATTTTCACGATGATGTCTATCAATGTGTCTGTATAATCGATAATTCATGAACGGATACAGGGAAAAACACCAAATTTTAAGCTTAAGCTTTAATTCAACCTATAATGAACTAAATACATTTTGGGCATAGTCGGAATATATGGAGGGCACTTTGTTGAGAGTTGTTTTTCTACTTTATGAAATATATCTGTTATTTACGTTCGGAGAAGAAAATTTTTCAAATAAAAGTTACCTGTAATATTGTTCTCTATAATGTTTGTTATATCCACAATTTTCCTAAAATGATCCGTATTCTAGAAATTTGACGAAAAGTGCAAAATTCAAATTTAAAAAAAAATTGTTCAATTAAAAATTGTGTGTAATAGCATTCTCTATCATTTTTGTTCTAATTTATCTAAAGCGGACTGTATTCGAAATATTTGAAAAAAAATCTGATGTGTCCAACACATGACTTTCCTATCTAGTTATATAAATGTTTAGAGGATAAACTAAATATATACATTGTCCACATACATCTACCTCGAAACATTTTTCTATAGATATTCATGGAAAACGAAAATACTGAAAAATTTTAATTTCCTACAATTTTTTCATTACGGTCCATTTTAGAAAAATCATGTATAAACAAAAATTATAGAGATCGATATCGCAAACAACTTTTATTTCAAAAACTTTCATAATAAAAATCAGAATTTTGCACATTTTGTCAAATTTCTCGAATACGGACCATTTCAGGAAATTTTTACATAAAACAAAAATTACAGATAATCATATTAGAAGTAACTTTTATTTGAACAATTTTCCTCTCCAAACATAAATAACAGATATATTTCATAAAATATAAAAACGGCCTCCCATAAAGTACCCCCCCAGATGTTCCGACTTTGTCCAAAATCTAATCATTTCACGTCAGGCCGAAATAAACCTTAAGTTTAAAATTTAATGTTTTTTTCTTTATCCGTTTTTGAGTTTTCTTCAAAATTCGAAATTTACACATTTTCTCAAATATCTCGAATACGGTCCATTTTAGAGAAATTATGTAGAGAATAAAAATTATAGAGAATTATATTACAAACAACTTTTATTTGAACAATTTTAATAAAAAAATATTTTTTTTACATTTTGTCAAATTTCTCGAATACGGACCATTTTAGGAAAATTTTGTATAGAACAAAAATTATAGATAATACTATTAGAAGTAACTTTTATTTAAAAAATTTTCTTCTCCAAACGTAAATAACAGATATATTCCATAAAATATAAAAATGACCACCTATAAAGTACCCCCCCAAATGTTCCGACTCTGCCCAAAATCTAATCAGCTCATTAGACGCTGAAACAAAGCTTAAGTTTAAAATTTGGTGTTTTTCTGTGTATCGGTTCATGAGTTATGCGTTATACAGACAGACACACAGACACACACACACACACACACACACACACACACACACACACACACACACACACACACACACACACACACACACACACACACACACACACACACACACACACACACACACACACACACACACACACACACACACACACACACACACACACACACACACACACACACACACACACACACACACACACACACACACACACACACACACACACACACACACACACACACACACACACACACACACACACACACACACACACACACACACACACACACACACACACACACACACACACACACACACACACACACACACACACACACACACACACACACACACACACACACACACACACACACACACACACACACACACACACACACACACACACACACACACACACACACACACACACACACACACACACACACACACACACACACACACACACACACACACACACACACACACACACACACACACACACACACACACACACACACACACACACACACACACACACACACACACACACACACACACACACACACACACACACACACACACACACACACACACACACACACACACACACACACACACACACACACACACACACACACACACACACACACACACACACACACACACACACACACACACACACACACACACACACACACACACACACACACACACACACACACACACACACACACACACACACACACACACACACACACACACACACACACACACACACACACACACACACACACACACACACACACACACACACACACACACACACACACACACACACACACACACACACACACACACACACACACACACACACACACACACACACACACACACACACACACACACACACACACACACACACACACACACACACACACACACACACACACACACACACACACACACACACACACACACACACACACACACACACACACACACACATCATCGCGAAAATAGTCAAAACGGATTCAGGGGACCTCAAAACGTAAAAATCCGTCGAAAACTCGAGGTCGAAAAAAATCATGATTCCTATACTTTCCTTATATCTGTATACAGATAGGAAAGTAAAAATCTGATGTGTCCAACACATGACTTTCCTATCTAGTTATTACAGGCTTTTTCCGGTTATTTTGTACAACCTATTGCAGCATCTCTATAAATGTTTAGAGGATAAACTAAATATATACATTGTTCACATACATCTACCGCGAATTATTTTTCTATAGATATTCATTGAAAATGAAAATACTGAAAAATTTAAATTTAGCACTTTTCCTACAATTTTTCCATTACGGTCCATTTTAAAAAAATCATGTATAAACAAATATTATAGAGATCGATATCGCAAACAACTTTTATTTCAACAATTTTCATAAAAATCAGAATTTTGCACATTTTGTCAAATTTTTCGAATACGGACCATTTCAGGAAATTTTTACATAAAGCAATAATTATAGATAATAATATTAGAAGTAACTTTTATTTGAACAATTTTTTTCTCCAAACATAAATAACAGATATATTCCATAAAATATAAAAACGGCCTCCCATAAAGTACCCCCCCAGATGTTCCGACTTTGTCCAAAATCTAATAATTTCACGTCAGGCCGAAATAAAACTTAAGTTTAAAATTTAGAGTTTTCTTCAAATTTCGAAATTTACACATTTTCTCAAATATCTCGAATACGGTCCATTTTAGAGAATTTATCTATAGGATAAAAATTATAGAGAATTATATTACAAATAACTTTTGTTTGAAAAATTTTTATAAAAAAAATATTTTTTTACATTTTGTCAAATTTCGCGAATACGGACCATTTTAGGAAAATTTTGTATATAACAAAAATTATAGATAATAAAATAAGAAGTAACTTTCATTTGAAGAATTTTCTTCCTCAAACGTAAATAACAGATATATTCCATAAAATATAAAAATGACCACCCATAAAGTACCCCCCCAGATGTTCCGACTCTGCCCAAAATCTAATCAGCTCATTAGACGCTGGAGTAAAGCTTAAGTTTAAAATTTGGTGTTTTTCCGTGTATCGGTTCATGAGTTATGCGTTATACAGACACACACACACACACACACAGACACACACACACACACACACACACACACACACACACACACACACACACACACACACACACACACACACACACAGACATCATCGCGAAAATAGTCAAAACGGATTCAGGGGACCTCAAAACGTAAAAATCCGTCGAAAACTCGAGGTCGAAAAAAATCATGATTCCTATACTTTCCTTATATCTGTATACAGATAGGAAAGTAAAAAGTGTAAATTTAAAATTTTGCAGATCTAAAAACGAATAAAAAAAAACACCAAATGTTAAATTTAAGCTTTAATCTGTCGTGTGTAATGAGCATTTTATACTCGTTAGGATTTTATTTTTTTCGTAAAGTTATATTTATTATTCAAACAGAACAGATAATAAATATTGTTATGGTTATTGGAATTCTTATTTCGTTTTTTTTGTATTTAATATTTAAAAGTAACTTTTCGAGTGCACCCTGTATTCAAATTTGAAGGCAATCGAAAATTCTTTATGTCTATGACGCTAAACAAACGTCAAAGTAAGGGATATGAGACGTTTAAAAGGCGATGAATCGAAAAGCCGGTATTTTTTTTGTAAATTCATCCCACCTCTTTCTTTTATTTTCTTATCCACGGAGAGTTTAGTTTTAATCGAAGTGAAGTTATCAAGTGAAGGGTTTAATGTTTAGCTATAAGTAAAAGGTAGAGCGTTTTCTTTATTTAATATTTAAGGTGAATTATTAGCTAAAAACTACGTTAGAGCGTTGTCTATCGACTAAGGGTGAGATTACAGAACGTCTGCAACTTTGCAGATCTGCAACTTTGCAAATCTGCAAATATGGCGGACTTACAAATGCAAGTATTCCAAAAAATATCTGCAAATTCGCAATATTTATTGTGGTTTATTACCCCCAACAACACTAAACCCAAAATTGGAATACGAGAACTTGATACTTGCATGTGTAAGTCATATGTGCAGATTTTCAAAGTTGCCGCTATATTTGCAGATCTGCAAAATTGCAGACGTTCTGTAATCTCACCCTATAGTTATTTGTTGCATGGATATTTTTTTTAGTGTTTAACGGATGCATATTCCATTAATTTAGGGCTATCTCGTTAGTCAAAGGTAGATTCCAGTAATTCGAATTGAACAAAGAAGTTTTTCAACTATTTAAAGGGTTTTTTTTTTAGAAAAGGCCATTTTGTGTTTTAACTCAAGCCAAGGGATTTTGACCTTTATTACGTCGTTATTGGACACGGCTTATTTTAAGTTTAATACTTGCAACGGATTTTAACTTTTATCGTTTCGTTATTTAAGATTGTTTTCCGGTTAGCAGGAATTTATCAATTTGTGTCAATTTTTCGATGGCTTATTTACAGCGATTTTATTTTCAATTTTATGATAATTTTTTCATTGTTTTTTTCTCTATCGTGCGATTTTATTTTCAATTTTATGATAATTTTTTCATTGTTTTTTTCTCTATCGTGTAAAAAATCGATGAAACGCTAATTTTTTTTGATTCATTTATTCTTTCTAGTGCGGTGTTTGGGTGGAAATTTGTTTTTTGGAGAATATTTTGAGAAATTGCTACTTTACTTATCACCCTGAAATATTAAACATAATTCACTGATAATACAGCTGAGATAAAGCGGCTTCCGGACAGCTTATACACAAAGGTTGCTTCTGTGTTGGACATATCATATTTCTTTATCAAAGGTTCATATCAAGAAGTTATATTATTGTAAAAAAAAACTTACCCATAAGAAATAGTAACTTGTTCTCCCTTTTTTATAGGAGCTTGTGCTCTTGTTACTATCAGCGAACCATAATAGAAAAATTCGCAGTTGGGTACACAAGAATGATTGTAAAAACTAGTAAAAGCATATAGAGCAGTCCCGACTCTCTTGGACTCAATATAATTTGGAGTGTATCGAATTTTTTTAATGTTAAATGGAAAGAAAGTATTAATCATATAAGCCTTATAAAGCAGTTTCTTTATATTACAATCATCTTCATCTGTATCATATTTTGAAGTGAATTCTTGATTTTCTTTAAGAGTGTAATAAGCTATAGATGCAGCAATTGCGGGGATACAAAGGTTGATATAATTCCAGTTTTCTTCATTCATTTCCAATTTTATAATTTCTTTAAAGGAATTAAATAGATGGATATTGTCAGGGCAGTCAGCTTCTATTTTCTTTAAATCATTCATACCTGTAAAAATTGTTACGAATTATACTTTTCCGAATTTGATATTATTATTAAAGGCAAAATAATAAAACTAATGAGGACATCTGGCACTGTGCCAAAGTCAGTAGTTAGTAGAAATTTTCCAAAGTTACTGGTGAGGAGAAAATTTTTCAGTGAAGGTTAAATTTAATTTTTTACATAGGTATTCGATAAATATGAATTTTAATTCAATACAAAAATTATTGTGTAAGAATTTTTTTAATATTTACCTATTAACGCTAATTTTATAAACACCATTAGAGGAGAAAGCAAAATCTTGTGGAACTGACACTCATATTTATGATACCCCTCATAACACTTGCTTCTACATTCCTCACTGCAATACAATGAACTGCAACAGCTCTCACATGGAATCAAATTATAACAAAGCTCTAGACACTCATGACAGTGTATATATTTACTTTCTGGATGTACAACATGACAAACAGAATTTTCTGCTGATAAAACTTCTCCAATTTTTATATCACGACTTGCAATGACGTGTCTACCATATTTTTTGTTGTATTGTATTTCTATAGAATCTTCTGCACAATCTATCAAAGGGTTTTTAGATTTGATAACAGGGGGACTATTGTAATAACTGACTTGTTTCTGCTTAGATTTTTGAGTCTCAACTGAAGCTTTTCGTTTCAGCAATTTTTGTTTCGACTTTTCTGGATAGTCTAATGATAACGCTCGGTCAATATCCTGCAAAAATTAAAAGATTTAAATTATTAGTTGATAATAAACAAGTCAATGTGTTTCATACTTGAGAACCATAAGAGGGTTCTAACTTTATCAAATGAAACTGGAAGAGGTTTGGACAGGGCACTGAGAAAACAATTTGAACAAGATAATACATCCAAACACATTTCAGTTTATAGAAGTGAATTATGAACAAGTGATAGAAATAATTGCATCTCTAAATAATACCAATGCAGAAAGAATTGGTTGCATTTCCACTAAAATTATTAAGAAAATTGCCCCATACATTGTGAATTCATTAGCTTATGTAATCAATAATTCCTTGTTACTCAGAAACTTCCCAAACGCTCCTAAAATTGGGCTTGTAATACCAATCTTTAAAAAAGGGTGTCTCTTGTCAGTGTAAAGTTTTTGAGAAATGTCTAGGTCAACAAATGTTCTTTTCTAAAAAATTTAATATCCTAACTAAACATCAACATGGTTTTCTTCCAGACAGGTCAACGGAGAGTGCAACAACTACTGCTTTCTTCACACAGCTAGATAGGGGACAGTATGTGGGTGCTTTCTTGTTTGACTTGTCCAAAGCTTTTGACACAATTGACATATCCATTGTTCAAAATAAATTACAGGCATTAGGCTTCAGGGGCATAATTTTAAAATGGCTAAGCTCTTACTTACATTCACGTCAGATATGTGTAAAAGTGGGTAACTGTAAATCAGAATTGAAAAGTCTAACCCGAGGAGTACCACAAGGCTCAGTTTTAGGACCACTGATATTTTTGTTATATGTAAATGATCTTCCTCAACATGTATCTGCAGATTATATCAGTAAATTGTCCCACAGTGAACAACGGTACACAGTGAATCATTCGTCATAATGGCGAACGTATCAGTTTTAAAAATGAACGCAAGGGGGCATTTGAAGCCAAATGTTGTTAGCTTTCATTTGACCAGTCAGTCGGGAGCGTGCAGTTGTTTATGAAGGTTGTGCTGATAATCGAAGAAATACAGGTACGTAAATAAAAAAAATGGAAAGTTTATTTTTTGTTCCTGAGCAAAACCTAACGTACGTTTTTGTTCATGGCTATACCTGACAGTGAAAGTTATAATGTTTAGATCATATATCAATCAAAGTCCTTTATATAGATATCAATTATGTTTGTTTTTTTTAACGAACTTTGTCCAACAGTGAACCAGCATGGTGTAGTACACAGTGAACCTGGTTCACTGTGTACCACATTAATGCGGAGGTACATTATTTGATTTTTTCCAGTATGGCTAGATCCAAAAAGCCAAGAAAAATAGCCAAATTTACAAAAGAGCAAATGAAAGCTGCTCTTGAGCTTATCAGAAATGGATACAGCGGCAAAAATGAACTCACTATCTTATCCAACGTTAAGACGATATTATGCCAAAACAAGAAATTTGCCCAGACAACACACCAAAACCCAGAGATATCCACAGAATATCTTTTGTGGATATCCAATATATCCACAGGATATCAGAAATATTCCGTGGATCTAATATGGATATCCAAATGTCCGTCTATATCCAGAATATAGAAGATATCCTAATGGATATTTAGCAAAATATCTAATGGGTATCTTCCAGGAAATACAAGAAATCCCAGAGATATCCACAGAATATATTTTGTGGATATTCAATATATCCAATATGGATATCCAACCAAATGTCCGTCTATATCCCAGGATATAGAAGATATTCGGATATTCAGCAACATATTTTATCTTTAGTAGAGGTTCATAAGTAACCAATGATTATTGAATAACGTCGAATGAAAGTAACAGAGATAAAAAATATTTTGAACACTCAAAATATTTTCAACACTCTGCCTTTGATTTTGCCCACTAAGGAGAAAGTCATCCCTATTAGGTCTCTTCAGCAATAAATGGAAATTCTTGACTTCAGTCTCTAATGAAGTCTGAATAGAACAAAAATTTCGATCGAACTCAATTACGGCGGGTCAAGCATGAGTAGATGCGGAAGTGGTATCGCCATCTATACTTAGTAAGCAAAATCAAATAACATCTAGTGGATATCCACGATGGTTTGCGTTCGCGCCGAGACTTTGATATATTTAGTGGATGTCCATGAGATATTGAATACACCTTAAAAAAATTAATTTTAAATATCTGAGCGGTACTATTAGCCACAATGGCGTAATTTTTTAATAATTTGCTATATAATTACTATTATTTATGGACATTTGCATGTCTGTAAATTACATATCATGGATATAAAACAGATATCCACCATGGACTGGACATTCAGTGGATATTGGGATGTGCAGTAGATATCCAAAAGATTTGGTGTGCTGTCTGGGAATTAGTTGTTAATTTGTAAGAAAAACATAAAAATGTTAAAAGGTGGTGATACTAAGGTCAGAAAGTATTAAAATCAAATGTATTCTGATTATGTATCACTTTTACCATTATGATAAATAAAGTAGAGAAAGTCTAGTCCTTTCTCTTATTAATGAAAAAATATTTTCAGTTACCTCTTCTAATAAATATTGGGTGTTAAAAATCCATTAGAAAATAAAAACACATTAAAATTGGCTTGCTAGGATTATCCATTTCTAATTTTTTATCTAATATGACTGGTCTAAATTTAATGTGACTCGACAGAAGCAGTGTTAGTATTAAATCTTTCAAGATGAAAAACAACGAATGAGTTATGAAATACAGCTTTATTATTTCCAACTAAGTAATTATTATAAACAATTTCTAAAATTTATATAGGTAATTTCAAAATTGCAGAGGAAACATTTAAGAAACAATATTGAAGCAGCTTAGGAACAAACCAAACACCTTGAAAGTCCTTATTTACTACAATTTTTGTAAAATGGTCAGAAAATACCAATAATTACTTAAGTTAAGGTGGAGACACCTTGATTTTTACTTTCCTATAGGGATACAGATATAATTAAGGAAAGTATAGGAATCATAATTTTTTTCGACCTCGAGTTTTCGACAGATTTTTACGTTTTGAGGTCCCCTGAATCCGTTTTGACTATTTTCGCGATGATGTCTGTGGGTGTGTGTGTCTGTATCCACCATAACTCATGAACCGATACACAGAAAAACACCAAATTTTAAACTTAAGCTTTATTCCATCGTCCAATAAACTGATTAGTTTTTGGGCAGATTCAGAACATCTGGGGGGGGGGAGGTACTTTATGGGTGGTCATTTTTATATTTTATGGAATATATCTGTTATTTAAGTTTAGGGAAGAAAATTCTTCAAATAAAAGTTACTTCATAAATTATTATCTATAATTTTTGTTCTATACAAAATTTTCCTAAAATGGTCCGTATTCGAGAAATTTGACAAAATGTGCAAAATTCAGATTTTTATAAAAATTGTTGAACTAAAAGTTGTTTGCAATATCGATCTCTATAATTTTTGTTTATACATGATTTTTCTAAAATGGACCGTAATGGAAAAGTTGTAGGAAAAGTGCTAAATTAAAATTTTTCAGTATTTTCGTTTTCGATGAATATTTATAGAAAAATGTTTGGAGGTAGATGTATGTGGAAAATGTATATATTTAGTTTATCCTCTAAACATTTATAGAGGTGCTGCAATAGGTTGTACAAAATAACCGGAAAAACTCTGTAATAACTAGATAGGAAAGTCATCAGATTTTTTTGTAAACCTTCGAAAAGTATTTATTTTCAAAAATTTTAAAAGGAATTTATAAAGAAACATGTACACACCTTTTTGTATAACATCTATGAAAATTTGCTGCTTTTGGTTTTAAAAATATCTAGTACTTTTTAAATGAAAATATTTCCCAGCTTTATTTCTTAAATATCTCTGTAAAGTGCTGCATTACGTTGCACAAATTTAGAGCTCTGAATATTCCCAAGACACATAATATCACGAATATTTCCAGTGATGTGCATATAAATACAATTTTCTAGTAGAAAATCATTAAAACATTTTTGTTTTCGCAAAAGATTCACTTTGCTCATTAATGAAACATCCTGACAATTGACTCTAGAGTGGTGTACACATAAAGGGCCACCTAAATTATAAGATAATCCATAAAGAATATTGGAATGAGAAAATGTAGCAAGATGTAAAAAACTGTATATATTTATAAAATCTCACCTCTAAGCATTGCTTATAATACCTTCTTTCATAAAGACATGCAGATCTATTAGCATATGCTAAAGCCAAGTTGGTGCTTCCACTTTCAGCATAAGCTATACTTTTTGTATAATATTCTAATGCAACCAAATAGTTTCCCTGGCGTAAAAATAAATCATTGCCTTGTTTTCTTATCATTTCTGATTCTCTATTTGATTTTCGGTCCTGATGTTTAGCAACTTCAGTTTTAAATGTATTTAATTTGGTTATGCAATTATATACGAGGTCTACACGATCGGAAAAATCACTTAAATTTTTGAATTCGTTTTCTTTTAAATGTAAATCTGCTTCTTCGAAAAGTAGTTGTGTATAAGTTTCTAACGATTTTCCTGCTTCAATTCCACACATTCTGACTGATGTTTATATATAAGTGTTGTTACAGAAAGTCACTAGGCACGGGAGCACCAAAATTATGTAAGAGTAGCTGTGCTGTGTTTCTAAAAACATAATATATAATAAAGATAATATGTTGCTGTTAACATGAGTATTTAAAAAATACTCAATAATTGAAATTCATTTTTGTAGCATTGTATATAATTTTACCTATTAATGCTAATTACTCTCTATCTTAATCGTAAAATAAAAAATAAATACTAATTATTTTTATTTACATTAACCACTCACTCACGATTGTTTACAATCTTATTTTTTAGGTTGGGTTTTGACATGTGACATATCACAGATTCACAGAACACTTTTCCCGTCACGAGACTGTTATATCTTCTTTTTGAATATTTTAAAGATCTTTTTATTAGGAGACAACCAGAAACATTCATGATTTCATGTAGGTAAGTAGCTGCGCCTAGATTCAAGACTTTTTAGAATCGTAGAATTAGAAGAAGAATTAGGTTGTGATTGTGGGGTTATGTCATGTCTTTTCAAAATGTTTTCTTCCAGGATTTTGCGATTTAACAAATTAAACACCCTTTCAGGTATATTATGAAACGGTTAAATTTATCAATAATAACGTTTCTTTATTTTAGTACAATTTTCACATTTACATATTCATAGAACAGCCAACAATACCGTTTCAATACCCCTACCTCTAGTAGAAAAAATTAATAATTACAATCCTTGGATATGGAAACGAAATGAAAATATCGGTTTACCTATGAGTAAAAATGCGAACCTAAATGTCGAGTTACCAAATGGATTAAAATATATTTTACCACTAATTGATCCCGTTGCAAATGAAGAGATTGAAGCTCCAGCAGTGGATGATAGCATAGAAAAAGAAGCTGTTACAATGATAGTAATTAGGAGAAAGAAAATGAAGAAACATAAATTAAAGAAGTTAAGAAAAAGAATGAAATTTGAATGGGCAAAGGTATTTATGCTTTATATAAAAGCCACTATAGATACCACTGCCTGTGACAAAGGATTTAATGTGGTATACTACTATATTTAACAACTAATATAATTTCTTTATTTTTGTATGTTCTAACTGTACAAATTAATAATAAAATACAGTTGTGTGCTATTTGTAAAGGCTAATAATAATAATATTCTTCTGAAGAAACTTGAAATTTAATTTATTTTAATATTACAATGACTAAATCTTTAAACATTTCTGCGATTTCTGGTGTCTCCTAAGGAGTAATAAGTTATATTAATTTTTATGGCTTTTCTAATAATTGTATAATAATTCATATTGTTTATACTCACAAAAAAGATTAAACAATACAGTGCAAATAAGTAATTTTTAAAGTTTTAGGTTTCCTGATAGGAAACACTAAATTTTCAAAAAATTGCTATTATGAACTTCATAAACCTTTGTGTTACTCCTCATATCCTATTTCAATCAATTATGGGAGTTCACCTTTATTTCTTGAAATATTAAATAAATAGAAACTGATATGCTATAAAACATTTTTGTTGTTTTAGAAAAGACAGCGAAGAGAATTGAAGAAAGAAAAAGAATTTCAAGCCCAACTGATTGCACAGTACACAGAAGCTGAAGCATTTTCTGCTGAAGAATATGTTGCTGAAAAAATAAATAAATACAAGGCACTCATATCTGAACAAATCGAGATGCCTAAATTTCATATGAGTACTGTTAAAAGTAAATAAATCATTATAGTTATATAACATTTTTTTCTTCTTCTATATACTGGTTTTGGTAATGATTAAATAAATAATTGGATTAAAAGTAGGGGAACATTATTTTTATTTGTTTATTGGGTTTAAAAATTCTTTTAATTAAAGAAATTCAATGTAGGTAGAACACTTGTTTTCAAAATAAATAAAACTGGACAAATATTAAAAATGAAAAAAAAAAACAAACTTCAAAATCATGCAGATGTCATCACCACATCTTAACCAAATTTATACGGGACCACCCCTGAGGTACCCTCTTATTAACAAAAAAAGAATCATAGAAATCAGACAAGGTGGTAAAGAATTATCGCTAAACATACATAAAAAATGAAGAGTGAGGATTTTCTGATGGATCCAATTATTAGATTTTGACCAAATTTATATGGGACCACCCCTGAGGTATCCCCTTTCTAACAAAAGAAGAATCATTTACATCGGACACCATGTTAAAGAATTATAGCTGAACATACATAAAACTATAGGTTTATGGTAACTGAAATAAGACACATAAGTTTGAGCCTCTAAATATCTGGAAAATACCGCGTCAATGGTGGTCCCATTTTTTGTTGTGGATTCCTGTGGATCATTATTCATTTTCAAATTCAATTTTTCCAAAATTGTGTCTAAAAGAGATATAATCAGTTATCAGCAGTTAGCAGCTTGTCTACACGCATTCATCTAGTCGCACGCACACAAACACCGTGCCGAAGTCTGCCGAACTCAAACGATTTAGACGAAGCACGGCTTTCAACGCCGCACCGTTGTGCCGGTCGGAGTGGGGGAGTGTTAGGTTTATTTTCGTTTCGGAATTTCTTTTTCGATTATTTGATGTTACGATTTTTTTAATTTTTCGATTTTTCGACTTTTTTTTATTGAATAAATGAGAAGTTAATATTTAAAATATTTTTATTATCTTACAATACATGTCGGCCGGAGTGTTAGATGTTACGGAATTTCTTGATTCGGTCGCCGCGCTCAAAGCCCGTGATAAACGCTTTGCAATAGCTTAAAAACACAAATAAGCTGACAGCACTCTTGCATAATACAGAAAATTATCACGAATTAAATACAGGAAAGAAACACCTGGCATACAATGATATAATTAAAAATAAAAAAAAAATAATATCTAATATTTACGCCAGCCGGGAACATTTATGATACCAATTTATTAGAAGCCAGAGAAAGCTCTTCTAGTTTTTGTATTGCATAAACGTTCCAGTCCGCAGACGTATATTTAACTCCGCTTCATACTAATACGAATAGGGTCGGATAAAACCTTCCACGGCTTTCAAAACGTCGCACCGCTGTGCCGGTCGGAGTGGGGGGTGTTAGGTTTATTTTCGTTACGGTCGTTACGGAATTCTTGATTCGGTCGCAGCGCTCAAAGCCCGCGATAAAAGCTATGCAATAGCTTAAAAATATGCTTTATAATTCATTTCTTGATTGTTTCGGCCTTTACTTAATGAAAATCCATAATGTTTAAATGATAAAAACGTTTTAAACATGCTATTCAACAAAGTTATCCCATAAAAATCAAAATTGTAGCTATATAAGACACTCACAATGCAAAGGTATCATTATTATACTCAAAAAAATCTAAATATTAATGTAGGTAGTTTTCAAAACCAATAATATGCTTGGGAAGTATATTCAAAATAATATGGGCAAAATTAATCCCAATAATATATCGAGAGTATATAAAGTAAATTGTAGTAGTTATCCAAAATTGTATATTGGCCAAACGGACTGTACTTTCAAAAAACTATTCAGAAGATTAGGTTAAAATTAAAAATAAAGTTAATTTTACTTTTTCAAATCATATATTGGCTGAAAATCATTCTCTTTTACAGAACATTTTGAGATTTTACATATAAAGAATACAAGTATCAAATTAAACCATTTAGATGCACTTTTTAAAAATGCAGATAACCTATTAATGATCAATTATAGGTATATTAATATTTTACTTTATAACGCTATACCAGTGTATTCTGGATACGGCCCTGGCAAAACGTCGCCTCGTGTCGTTTCGGCTTCTCGGATACTAAAGCCGAAGACTGTCGAAGACATTAGTAGTAGAAATATATTTTTGAATTTGTAACAGTTAATTGTGCTCAAATGAAATAATTTATTTCTTCATATTTAAAATAACAAAACAAACTCCACTCCCGTTAAAACTATCGCCCAACTCGAGGCCGTGATTTTTAAGTGTTTTTGACAAAACTTTTTCTAGTTTTTGTGTTAAAAAACATTGCCCAGTTTTCAGAATAGCTAAAAGTGTTCAACGTACATCGGTGTATTCTACAGTAAGTACACAATCTACTGTTCATTGTTTCCAATTTCCACGATCGTTTCGTATCGTCTTCTATCCGTTTGTGCATATTGCTCATTAATTTCAGGGTTTAATAAAAGCATTGCTCGATTATTTTAAAATCGCCATATTGTTACAACGTTCAAACAGGAAACGAAACGGTCAATCGTATCGATCGTGCTTCATCTCCCCGAGTTCATCTCATCGCTTCTCTTCTAGCCTGGAGGATTATAGCGCGTACCTCGGTGCGAGTAGTCGTAATTATGCTCTCGCACTGTTGCCAGACTGTTTTAAATTTCTGATTACTCGCGAAATTTAACTTTTCTTTTAGCTAAGTTATAAATTCAATAGAATATTTGTGTAAGTATAAGTATAAATGTAAGTGTAAGTATAAGAATAAGTGTAAGTACAAAAATGCATACAATCCTATAAATAAATACAATTTTTAGAAGAAAAAAGTTTACTCGTATATTAAGATATTGACCCTTTTTTGGATTATTGCTGGCAAGCTGTAAATAATTTAATTAGTTTAGGATTTTCACTTATGACTGATATAAAGGACCGCATTCTCTGTATTGTATAATCATTGTCATATGCAGCGTCGTGTTCCACAATATTCTCTTGAATTTTTGCTGGTGTTAAATGTTGCTTGATTTTAAGTTCGGACGTTATTTTTTTATCTAAAAACCAAAACAAAAATATATTATTGTCGTGTAACCACCTAAAGCCAACCCTGTTCCTCTCGCCGTTGCAAGCCGATACCGCAGGGCAGAGACAAACGCACTTCTTCGAGAGAAGTTACTAGAAAAACCGTTGCGCGCTGGCTGACTCACAGAGGAAGAATTCCCACATATTCTAGATTGCCGAGAATCTACTGGAGCAGAGCTGGCTTTATATAAATAGCGCTACTTGGTCGGTAGACATTAAGTTTCAATAAAAGTGTTGTATAGTAAAGACAAATTGTAATAAATTGAAATTGTGAGTTATACTAGTACCTAAGTATTAAATACATTAATTGGTACGTTATAAATATTTTTTTTAATAAATAAACTATTTTTAAATTATGTTTAATTAATGAAAACTCTACATCACATTGTTGTATTATAATTTTGATTTTCTTTACGATGTGTAACTTGTACACATTACTGTGCTGACCTGTATGCGATATTATTGGGAGTTATATAAATTAACATCGTAGTAATGTTTGACACAGGAAGTAACTAAAAAGAAGTACAAAAGATGTTTATGTAACTGTTAATGCAAATATTGCTGCGTACATAAAACTTCAGTTGTAGATATATTCGAGGGATGTTAATGAATAACACTTAAAATTTAAATATCTATGTAATATTTTAGAACCGTTTTAAAAATATATCAAGAAAAATCTCTATAAAAACGTTACAAAAAAGACTGATAATGTTTCATGTTTAGTTGGAAACCTTAGATAAAAGAGACCAGAGATATAACATACACCGGTTTTAAACCTGCGCAAATGTTGCCAATTTCTAAAGAAGGGTTAACGGAGTGGGGGAACTGGGCGGCGACACGCGGCGACCCGAACTCTGTGACAGGGACCGGACTTTGTTTATTAGCATCATAATGAACTATTAGGTTTATTTAAAAGGTGTTTAATCGAATTTTGTATTATGAAATAAAATTAACATGATTTTTTAATATCAAACAGATGCCACGACATTTTATGTAAAGAGAAGACCTTTTATAGAATATTTCGTTAGCGTTTATTTACTACGGACTTTTCTGCAAGAGATTACAGTAAAATGTTGAAATAGAATATATTGTTAATAGAGCAAAAAATGTTACTCATTGTCTACGAGTATTATAAAAATAGCATGTGCGCAGGCTAATACTGCAAATCTACCCTTATGAGTTGAACATTATATTTTTTCTACGGCTATTACATATTATTAAAAATTAGTCAAAATGAGAAAATGCTATTTTGTATTGTAACCTCAGAAAAAAGTATATTAAGGCTTCTTTCTTTAAGAATATTAATTATTATAAAGGATGAGTCACATAAAACTCTAGAAATGCATATGTCTGAAACCAGATAACATTTTAAAATTTAAATCTGTTAAAAGTCATTTGGTCGCTAGGGATGAGTGATTATCGAAATAAATTATCGATCATTGAAAATAATCGATTATTTTCGATCAATAGATTATTTTCAAACAATATATTTTTTGTCAAAATCAAAAATAATCGATTAATTAAAAAGCCAATTAACCGATAAATCAGTGTTTACAAAATATAATATAAATAGAATTATCGTTTATTTTAAATAATCGATTATTTTCAAATAAACCATTTTTTTTCGTCCATGGAAACAAATTATTCGATAATCTTTGAAAAATCGAAAATAATCGATTAATTAAAAATAATCGATTAATTAAAAAGTCGATTAACTGATAAATCGATTTAAAAAAAAACAGAATGATCGATTATTTTAAATAATTGATTATTTTCGATCAATCGATTATTATCAATAATCTATTTTTATTGTATTTCCTTTAAAATCGTTAATTCGATTATCTTTGAAATACCGAAAATAATCGATAATTCCAAAATAATCGCCTAATCGAAAATAATCAATTAATTAAGAAGCCGATTCTATGATAAATCGATTATTACCAATAATCTATTTTATTGTATTTCAAAAATAATCGATTAATTAAAAAGTCGATTAACTGACAAATCGATTTTCAAAAAAAAACAGAATGATCGATTATTTTAAATAATCGATAATTTTCGATCAATCTATTATTATCAATAATCTATTTTTATTGTATTTCCTTTAAAATCGATAATTCGATTATCTTTGAAATACCAAAAATAATCAATAATTCCAAAATAATCGCCTAATCGAAAATAACCAATTAATTAAGAAGCCGATTCTATGATAAATCGATTTTCCAAAAAATAGAACGAATTATCTATTATTTTCTAATAATCCTTTTTTCATATTTCCTTTTATTTGAAATTGATTATTCGATTATCGAAAATAATTGATTATTAAAAAGCTGATTATCCAATAAATCGATAATTTTAAAAAAATAACCAAAATATCGATTATGTAAAATAACCGATTATATCCAATCGATTGTTTTCATATAATATCTTTGAAAAATCGAAAATAATCAAATAATTAAAAAACCGATTAAACGATAAATCGATTATTTTGAATAAATCTACTTTTTTGTATTTCCTTTAAAATCGATTAATACATTATCTTAAAAAAAACGAAAATAATTTATTAAAAACAGCGGATAAATCTATTTTCATTAAAAAATATCAGAATTATCGATAAATCGATTATTTTTGTAAATCCTATCGGTCGCTTGCTTTTATCTGAGCATTTAGCTCCAAAATTTAGAGATTCGGATTTTTTGATCCAGTTATCTTTGAAATCGCATTCGATTGTATAATAAATAAATATTGATAAATTTTGGATTTTTTTTAGTAAACGAAAATTATGTTCGAGTTGTTTAGGGGTTTGTAATGTAACATTTTATTAACGTGACTAAGGGTCGATTCCACCGTTGTGTTAAACGAAGTTTAAAATGACATTTTTACATTAACACTGTCATTTTAATCTCCGTTTAACACAACGGTGGAATCGGACCTAACTCCTGTAACTTTAGTATTTTTTTTTGCTTATACTAGATTACTTTGTTTTAAGACTTAAAATTCGCAAATAAGATGAACCTTGAAATTTTAAGTAGGTCATCCTGTATTTCATCTAATATTCTTATAAAAATACCTTATAAAAATAAAATTTAGCTAGCAACTATGATTCTTTACCTCTTATTTATCTACCAAAAAGGGCTAAAAACTACCTTTAGAAAACATTCTTATAAAACTACTTTTTAAATACAAAATTTCGTTAGCAATAATGCCTATTTACTATTTATTTAAATTAAATGTTCAAAATTTTACCCTTTTGTAAATTTATGTAAGTAATATGATATCTGATTTCTGATGCTTAATATTTATTGAAACCCCTTAATGCGGATCTGAAGTATTCAGCCCAGAGAATCATGGCGCTTTATGTCAAAACGTTAATAAATATTTACCGCTGAAAACGAATATATTCATAACAGTAGTACTTGTATTATAAGTACATACAATTTTTCAAGATACATCGTGACATTTTGAACTTGAAATTGAATAACTAGAACACTTTAAATTGCTAAAATACCAACAAATAAATCAAAAAACAGCTGTCAATGGTGATTAAACTCAGGTGGAGGTGATCGCTGAATGGAAATCGGAGCAATTCGGGTGGCGTCGTGCAACAATGATTTTCAATTGGTGGGTTACTTTGGCTTAAAATAGACAACATGTGCAGTGTGCAATGTTACATCTTCGGTCTCTTTAATCTAAGTTGGAAACAAATAAAACCTTAAAAATATTAGAAAATGTATTCATAGTTTAGCAGTTCTGTTTCACTATTTTTGCTTTGGCTAGTTTTTTTTCACCATTTGTTTACGAAATTCGTTTATTTCTTATATTCAAAGACTCCCCCCATGTGCCCATTACAACGTCTTATTTTTAATCATGTCCCATTCTTAATTAAATAACCTGTATGGCTTGTAGCTCACACTATATTGATTTCTTCAGGTATACCTAAATAATTAGAACCAAAATTTAAATTACCCTTTGGTTTTGGAAAATTATACAATTTTTCCAACTTATTCGGATAGAACTGTTCTTTACAAATACCCATTTCCGTATAATCGGGCTGGACAGTACTCATAATTTTTTCAGATACATGCGAGTCAGAAGTTTTTCGTTTATGTGACTCGTCCGATGATATAATTTTAGTGTATTTGACTTCCTCCAATTCTAAGCCCCTTTGTTTCAAACATTTTTCACAACAGATATCTCGGAAGGACATGATTTGATGATGATTTTTCCTTTCTTCTTCTTTTTTTGGAAAAATACCACTGGTTATCGGAGACAATAGTGCTTGTCTGAAAATCGATTAAATAATTAAAAATATTTCATTTTAACATTTCATACTTTAAAGGAAAATTTCAATTATTTTCAGATGTAACCATTTAAAAATAAGGGAAATAAGGGAACTAAGGGAACTTAAGGGAACTTAAGGGAACTTAGGGAACTAAGGGAACTAAGGGAACTAAGGGAACTAAGGGAACTAAGGGAACTAAGGGAACTAAGGGAACTAAGGGAAATAAGGGAAATAAGGGAACTAAGGGAAATAAGGGAAATAAGGGAAATAAGGGAAATAAGGGAAATAAGGGAAATAAGGGAAATAAGGGAAATAAGGGAAATAAGGGAAATAAGGGAAATAAGGGAAATAAGGGAAATAAGGGAAATAAGGGAAATAAGGGAAATAAGGGAAATAAGGGAAATAAGGGAAATAAGGGAAATAAGGGAAATAAGGGAAATAAGGGAAATAAGGGAAATAAGGGAAATAAGGGAAATAAGGGAAATAAGGGAAATAGGGGAAATAAGGGAAATAAGGGAAATAAGGGAAATAAGGGAAATAAGGGAAATAGGGAAAATAAGGGAAATAAATGTGGGATATAAAAGCGGGAAATAAATAAGGGAAATAAATAAGGGAAATAAATAAAAGAAATAAATAAGGAAAATAAATAAGGGAAAATGGAAAAACTTGAAATCCGTATCGCAAAAACGTCAAAAGACTGTTTCCCTTCTGAAAACAAATACTTTTTTAGCTAATATTGCAATAGAGAAATATCAAAAAGAAAATAACAAAGATAATTAATAATTTTCAACGCTCTAACTTTGATATTGCTTCCTGAAGGAGAACGTCATTCTTGGGCTGATTTCGTCCTTAATAGGACTTATCAGCAAAAAATAGACGTTCTCTTTTCCAATCTCTAATTGAACCTGTAGAAGGGTTACACATCCTCGCTAGTCAACGTTGGTAGTTTCGTGAGGATCAGAAGTTACAAAAAAATCAACACAAACGGTCGCTTAACGTTTCTGTGACATGGAGTTTGTTCATTTATTTATTTTGACGCTAAATTTGAAAATGCCTACAAATGAATTCAAATGATATACTTAAATTGTATATTTACTTCAGATGACTTGGGGTATTTCTATCACTATAACCATGTAGGTATCTATAAATTAAAAATTATTTTATTTTTACCTTGATTCCCTCAGAATTGCCACAGAATCTCTCGCAGTGGCAATTTTAGAAGTTTTCTTTATTAACGGTGGATTTTTATGCATCTCCGAACTTTTGACCGACATAGAGAAACTCGTTTTTTGTGATTTCGTCGTGATTTCAAGCTTCGAGTCCGAATCTATAAAATGTAAAAAGTATTATATTGTTTGACATTGAACAGTATACAGGATAAACCTACGAAAACGAAACGATTCAATTAAAAAAAAAGTAAAATATATACGTGATTTTTCTCTTCAACGTTTATCTATAACGCGTCCTCTACATAATGCCGTTTTTCCCGTTTGAATCTGACCAATAGTAGCCGAGAAATACGCTTAGGTCCTTCTGCATTTCGTTCTACGCATGATTTTTTTCTTCAGCGTTCATCTATACCGCGTTCTCTACATAATTCCGTTTTTCCCGTTTGAATCGGACCAATAGTAGCCGAGAAACACGCTTAAGCCCTTCTGGTAATCGCATGATTTTTTCCTTTCGGCGTTAATAGAGATTTAATTCCCCTACTCTTCCTCACTTTGTCTCACTCTTACCAATTGAATATGAACCTCTCACTCTTACACATTGAATTTCCTATGTGGGACCGTGGAAACTTAGTATTGTAGTGTAATCAATTGAAATAAAGAGAGGCAACTTAACTAATATCTCTCTCTCTCTCTCTCTCTCTCTCTCTCTCTCTCTCGCTCTCTCTCTTATAAAAGTATGATAAATAAAATGGTGGCGTGATTGACTATGAAGTGACTAGGACACCACGAGTGACCGACTGAAAGATTCATTATCTATTGGCTACTTACGTGTTATTGAGGGAGTGGTAAAGGTTAAAAGAAAATATCTATTAATTTATATCTAATCTTTATTGAAAATATTATAGATGGAAGAATCAGAAAGTAAAAATTTATAAGTATATAAAATGTATTTATAAAGATTAAATATAGGTCTGGTTCGGTGCAATAAAAAAAATAATTAGTTTATCATATGAGAGGAAAGAACCAGCAAGAAAACCACAAAGTTAAAATAAATACAATAAAACCAATCAAACGTCAATTTGGATACAAATGACAAATTAAGTATATAAATATATATATATATATATATATATATATATATACATATTTTTGGATCAAGGTGAGATCCGTATATATTATAGATGACCTGAGATCCATCCCAAATGAAATAAATCTCAAAAAAAGATTATACGTAAATATAATAAAAATGTATTTTAAATCAAGGCACCAACAGAGGGGTAAGGTAAAAGTGGTTTTTTTTATACATGAAATATGTGTTGCAAATAGAGATCCTTTATAAACAGACGTTAGTTGAGATCCGAGGCTGTATATAGATAAATATTTTAGACAAAATGAGATCCAGCTATGTTGCCAGATTTTTGCATACATTTGCATTCATTAATTTCACGTGTTTATTTAGCTATTTCCAAATGTGATGTATTGACATTTTTAAAGTGTATATGGCTGATAGAGATAAAGATGCCCAAATATAAACAATTTAATTTTGTAACAAAATAATTAGTCATCGTTTTCGAAAACGAAACGGTTCAAGTTTAGGGTTCCTAATGTCATTAAAAAAAAATCACTTGAAAACGTTAATGTATTTCTCAAGGGTGAAACCCTTTAGACGTATTTCCAAATCCCTATCTTTTAACCCCTTGAACAGTGTGCTGTACACCCCTCAACTCTTAAATGGAAAGTTTGGGTCGAGTGACACATCATTTAAAAGGTAATTTTATGAGGGAAAAAAGTGGTATGTAATCAAAAGTGTGACACTTCACTGAGACCTAATTTTATTAGTAATTTAATGGATCATGTAACATTATCCCAAATAAATCAAAAATGAACCTAAATAAAAATTAAATATTGCAGGGTGCTAACATTACACAAAATTAATTTTGTTACAAGTGCAATATGGAGATATTTAGGTTAATGTTATATGGTTCATTGAATTACCAATAAAATTAGCCCTCGTATGAGGTATAACACTTTAGATTACAAAACGCTTTCTTTCCCCTCAAGTGGGGGCAAAATCAAGATTTTGGGGTATACTAACCAATACTGCTGCATTCCTCATAAAATTACTTTCAAATGATGTATCACTCGACCCAACTTTCCACTTAAGATTTAGGGGTGTACAGCACCTTGAAGTTTAAAGGGATTTCCCCTCTATAAATAATAAATCAAAATTTTGGAGGAAGTACAGAAATTTATAATATAAGTTACTTGAAAGTATTTGAAAACAACAAATCACAAAATAAAATTTCTTCCCCGAGAAAGGATAAAAAAATAAAGTGTTTTTTAAAGATTATTTAAAATAGGTAGGAGCTTAAAAAAAGTTCCTAATGAAAATTGTAGAACATGACTTTAACATAAAAATTGAATTTTAATTTTTTTTGCTATTACTAAAATTAACAGAGTTAGGGTGATCAGAAGAAGGGAAGGTATGCACAACTTAAAAAATCATAGCAAGCTGAAAAATGAATGAATTTTAATTTTTTTAATATTTACTCACAAAAATATAATCTTTCTTTTCAGAGAATTTTTTTTATACTTTTAATAAAAAAGTTATAAAAATTTTAATTTAGTAATTTTCAACTTAAACGACTTTATGAGGTGAAATCAATTTTGTGAGTAAATAATAATAATAATAAAAAAAAAAATTCGTTTTTCAGATTGCTATGATTTTTTAAAGTTGCACATACCTTTCCTTAACTTCTAACTACCCTAACTCTGTTAATTTTATCAATAGCGAAAAAATAAAATACAATTTTTATGTAAAATTTCACCTTCTACAACTTTTATCCGGAACTTTTTTTTAGCTCCTACCTATTTTGAATAATCTTTAAAAAACACTTTATTTTATATCTTTTCGCCCTTTTTCGGGGGTAGAATTTTTTTTGTCATATTTTGTTTTCAAATACTTTCAAGTAACTTATATCAAAAATTCCTGTACTTGCTCCAAAATTTTGATTTAAAGGTCTATTTGATTGGACATAATGCGTACCTGAATAATTTCTTTCCAGTGTAAAAAAGTACTTACTTATCTTTAAGCTGCTAATAACCATTCTCTTATATAGTAGGAAAATAGTACCTAGTTCCAAAAGATAAATATAATATACTGTAACACATTTTTTTATATTGTTTTTTTGTTTATTTTTGATATCAAATTTTAAAGTATTTCATCAAATATTTGTGTTTTTGATCAATATTCATCTATTTTTTGAAATTCTTATTACAAAAACATGAAGAAACAAATAAAATGGGAAAAATGGATCTTGTGTATTTATTTCTCGTCTTTGATCTAAATATTAAATATTACAATGTTTTAATTATAGTCTAGTTCACAAGTTCTAAAACGTGTTGATAAAGCTCAAAAACATAATATGAATGAGTGCTTATTGGATTCGGAATGACGCCTAGAAAAATTTGCAAAAGTTTCAAACACGCATATAAACAATTATTGCAAAAATTATAAACAGATTAAGATTGAAAAAATTACGAATTTTGTTTTGCAAATAATAAAATATTGATGGTATTTATGATATTTTAAAACTCCTTGAACACTATCTAAACTTTTGAACATTTTTTTTTTCGTCCTCCGAATTCATTGACCCCAACATATACTTTTACGTCTGCTTTAATATGAATTCTGTAAATAATATTTCAACAAATATAAAACACCCGACGTTTATACGAAAGTAAAATGAAATTAATATAAATATAACTTTATAAATTTTTTTCAAAATTAAAAAATCATTTTGTTAATTTTTAATACAATTTTTTAAATATACCGTTAGCCAACGGTTCAAGAAAAAATACAAACTATTTTTGTATTTATTAAAAATATGAAATATTTTTTAAAGATATAATAATAAAATTATAATATTTTTCATATAAATATGCCCTTTTTATAATATAATCTAATATAAGAAAACATAGTATACACATAATATGCTGTTTTAACTAAAAGAGCAGGGCATAGTGTCGCATTCGAGCGAAAATTAGCTCAATTTTTTTGATCATGGCAGGGAAGTTCTCCTGATTATAAAAGTGTAACATGATATTTGTTGATGTTATTGTTTAAGCAAGTGAAAACTAAACAAATTGCAAAAAACTTTTTTTAAACTAAATTAATTTTTATTAAAATCTTTAAGATATTTTGATTATTATAACTAAACGTCTTTAATTATTGTTATAAATTTTTTAAGTTTAAAATTGCCGAAAATCAAGGCTTTAGAAATAGTTATATTATAATTTTTAATTTTTTATCAAATTTTTAAACAATCATTAACGTTACAGTTTTCTCAAATTCTGAATTACTTTTTTACTCTATATTTTATGCTTTGTAACAATATTCTCTTTACGCGCATACGCTTTCAAGAGAGAAGTATAATATGAAACAACTGAACGACGAAGTGAAGAGTTACAGAAATAACACCAGCACACAAAAAAAAAGTTGTTTGTACATCAGACACGACCTACCTACCGGCATGTATTTTGGCCCGCTGAATCCGAATTTCAAGTCAGTTTGGGCCGTCCACCCTTCAAAATCCACCCTTGCAATATATCTAAAAACTGATGTATGAACTGAATGAGGCGAAAGATTTTCTCAGATTTTGAACTGTTTTTTGTTGGTATCAAACTTTTTTGTTCTCAAATGACCTCCGTAGTATTCAGCGGATCGAAATACATAAGAATTATGCTTGGTTTCGATTCATAATTTTTTTTATTACTAATTATCTTATTTTTACTATTTTTACAATTTTCTCGATATTGAAGGGTGGACGGCCCAAACTGACTTGAAATTCGGATTCAGCGGGTCAAAATACATGCCGGTAGGTAGGTCGTGTCTAATGTACAAACAACTTTTTTTTTGTGTGCCGGTGTAATTATTAAAGGAAAAGTTTTTATATCATTTTATTATTGTAAAACTGCAAAAAACTTTTAAAGCGCCACATCTGCCTCTCTTACCTGTATCATACACTAAGAAACGAGTGAGAAGGTTATAATTTTCTCTTAAAAGCATATGCGCGTAGAGAGCATATTGTTATAAAGCATAATATAAAGAATAAAAAAATATTCAAAATTTGAATAGAATCTCATTTTTTCTAAAAGTGCCCATCCACCTGTGAGGATTCCTTCCAGTCGTTAGGCGAGGCGATATCTCCTCGAAAGTGTAACCTGGTGTAGTCGCACCTCTTAAAATATACACCCCACAAAAATTATCGCATCACTAAAATGTGTGCAATGTATGTTTATAAAAACAGGCAGTGCTAAAAAACTGTATTTCTCCTCTAATAACAGAGATAATAAAACAATCAAAAAAATAAAATTTTGCGAAAAATGAGACTAAAGTAGGCTATTAATTATAACATGCTATTATTGCTGGTACACTCCACAGGGTGTTACGAGTTTTCCAACCAAAAACCTATATTATTGTAACATCCGGTATACACTCTAAAATTAAATTTTATTTAAAGAATCAAAGATTACTATTCCTGAAGAATCAATTTATCTTCCAAAAAAATAATATCCAAATCAATCAAACGGTTCAAAAAAAACTCCAAATTTTTGAAAACTATTAGTGATGCGATAATTTTTGTGGGGTCCATAATTTTTTTCTGTAAAAAATTAAACTTTTGGTATTTCATTTAAATTAAACAAAAAAATAATTAATAGTTATTAACATTTATTTTATAAAGATTTTTGCGAAAGTAAAAAATGTAACTAAAATATAAATTAAAACTAATAAATAAAGTACTTTTAAAGAAAAGAAAGAAAGTATATAATGAATTTATTTAAAAAATGCATCTTTTTAAATATAATTCCATTAAAAAATGTGTCATGAAAATGAATTTTCTCATATTTAAGATAATAGATCACTTTTTACGCCTATAATTTTTTCTAATATTACCAATTTTTAAAAAATATTTTTAGCATACATATTTTTTAAATTATTTACTGAAAAAAAATGACTTCAAAGTATTATCTTTATAAAAAATACCGCTTAAACAAAAGCATATAAATTATAAAAACAAACACGATCCAAAGTAAAATGATACCATAATATGCCGTTTGCATCAGAACAGTCATTAACACATACTTAAAGTTATTAATGAGATCACCCAACGTTGCCGCAGTTATCGGATCTCATCATATTGATAATATACCAATATTCTAGAATCTGCCGACGCGCCACCTAGAACGATAAAGCTGAACCCAAAGTGAATAAAATCGTGGAGAATAGGCAAAGATGAGTTCCGACAAAAAAAATTTAAGCCGACAGATTATGGTTAGTTATAAGTATTGGGGACGTTTAACCACACAAAACAAGATGAGATCCAAAATCGGAGCTCGCCTTTCAAAACGGATCTCGAAGTGTACATGATTTATAAAAAAATGATCTCGGCTTTACCCAAAACATATATATATATATATATATATATATATATATATATATATATATATATATATATATATATATATATATATATATATATATATAAAAAAACACATTTAATTACTTGATGATTTAGTTAAACTCAGAAAAAATATATGAAATAATATTCAATTTTAGTTAAACACAGGAAAATATATGAAATAATATTTAATACATTATATAAAAAAAATATCTCATACTGCAAGGCAAAAATAAAATAATATTTTAAGAACAATAACTTATCAGATAACAAACATTGAGCATCACTAGGTTCAAACACACTCGATGCAAAACTGACCTTAACTACCCACCTATGAGTTGAATAATCTGGCGACAAAATAAGGTAAGTTACCGAGATACCTATCCCGATGTTGTCCCAGCCACGGGCGAAAATATTATTATCAATCAACAAGGCATTTTATACTTTTAACTTGGATCTGCCAATGCTGTGATTATCAAAATAAAACACATAATTATAGGAATACAATATTACTTTTCCCTTGCAGAACTTTAAAAATGACTGGAAAATAATTTCAAGTTCAAATATCAATTATAGCAAATTTTCCTTAGTAAAACCACAAAATATCAATAAATTTCAAAAATATTTAAATTAAAATATCAAAAGTATGTTATTTTTAACTGATTTGAATAGTAAATAAGTCATAAAATCAAATAAACTCGTTATTGGAAAGCAAGCTTTTTTATGACAAATACAAAAAATACCGACAAGAGATAACGTGAAATTATTTATAACAGTGAAATTCAAATCTTAAATAGTGAATTATCAACAAGTTAAATAATATATAAAGCAGTTGAAATATAGTAATTAATTTAAATAAGAACTTACATTTTATCACAAATAAAACCTTTTTTAAAAATCACCTGTACTTAATCACCGGCATTCTGACTCTTCGATGTTCGATGACTCCCCATTTCTCTTCCACCGCATCCACGATTTTGGTTCGTTGGAATTTACCGCGGTCAAAAACGATAGAATAGGTGGACGCTTTATATTGCCATTCAACGGGGACGGAATTAAATACGATCCCTTTCAGTATATCTACTTATTTGATAAGCCAAAATTACAAAATATCGCCCTAAAGCGCTCAAATTATCCGCAGCTTGCGCTTTTGCTTCCCCTATCATGACTTCGTACTGAGCGAATAGCTTACCTAAGGGAAGCGACGTTCTAATTTCCCTATCACATATCTTCAACTCTTGCATTTCCGGGTTTGGAATTTCTACTCTAACTTCTTGTTCATCATGGTCTTTAAGTTTTTCCTCTGTTTTTTCTTCAATGACTGGTAACGGTTTTTTGACGTTGACTGTACCTTTGTGCTTCAATAATTCTATCGAACAACTTGCGGCTAGCAGGTATGGATTAGCTTCAACTATTCCTATTTGGTTTGGATCGATGAGTGGAACTTCGTCAATCGATGACTATTATTTAATTAATAAACAAGCTGAAGTTAGTCTAATTATTGTAAAGAGTGAACCACAAAATATGTTTCTACAGTAGGCTATGGTCGACAAAACAATGATAACTATGCTTGGCTCTGAATTCAAACTGATATTTAAAAAGAAGACAAGACCTACTTTTGGAACTTTTTTCTGGATCTCTCAGTATTATGATCGATAACTTTTTTAAACTTATATATTTGTTATATACGATATTTATTATAAAATAAAAAGTACCATCTTGTAGGATGAGAGATTTGTCATTGTCAGATTAATTTAATTATTTGTCAGTTGTATTATTAATACCAAATGTATTACTTTGTATTTGTATTGCATTACCGTATTACAACCTAACAAAATTCAACAATAAAGGCGACAAAATAGTTATTTATGCAACTAGTGGCATACAATATTTTTTCTACTACCGTACACATAATCCACTAATATTAGAAATATAAAAGTTACTTTTTTTTACTAGTGAAAAAAGTACTTTACGCACTAGTGAAAAAAAGTAAAATGTGTCAAAAATTGTACACAGCAACAAAAATAAATTTATTGGAACTTTAAAAATTTATAATTCTTACAGAACAAAATGACTAACAAATGAAGAAATATTTAAAAAAATAGGTTTTTAACTCTTATGAATATTAATATTATCAAACAAAAATTTACGACCTCTTGATAAAATTTGTGTATGAAAGTAAAGTATGTTTGTAATTAATATTAGTCTTGCAACCTATGTTCTAACCCAATTGTTATATACCTACCTTTCCGTGGCCTAGTTTTGTGTGTAAAAAAAAATGTCTTGACGGGCCCCTAGACAAGAAGAAATGTTTTCCTTTGTTTATTCCTTGCTTGCCTTATCTTCTGTTATATATTTTTCTTCTTTTCTTGCTTAGGACAAAAGTGTGTAAGTGTGTATGATTGAATGGATGTAATTAGAGTGATAATGCAATTTAAACTTATATAATTTATTCCGCGACTGGCTGAATGGCAATAATATTGAATGTGCAATTATTGCAATTACCAAAATTTAAGGTTTTGGCCTTTTCCAGAACAGAGTTTGAAAAATGTTGTGATATTACTTCTGTAACCCTATTTTGAGCTTCGAGTGTATGGATTTGGCCTTTTCAAGTAAAGAGGTTGAAATATTTTGTGTAACTCTAGTTTCACTGTCGAGTCGTTCCACTAATTCTTCATTAGAGTTGTCAACGGTAAAATTGTAGCTTTGTTTGGAAGTGGATGGCATACTGTCATCCATCAAAATTTTATTAGAAATTTTGTTTTTTTTTTGTTATTGTGCTATCTACGTAGCCTTCTGCAACAGCAGATGATTTCCTCCTCCATGTTTTTTTACCGTTAGAAGGTCTCCTCCAGAATTTGCCAGCATAGTGGCTGAAGACCTCCTAAAGCAGTGTCCTGTAAAAGCCGTTGGATTGGGCAAGTTTAGATACGTTGCTATAACACTTGGCATTTTACCAAAAGTATTTATCCCTACAGGCTGTTTAGAATATTTTCTATTTGCGAATTTTAAAAAAAATCTGTTACAATTTGATGGTCTTAATGAGGTATATTTTTTTTATGAAAGATAAACAATCAACTGCAGAATGATTTGGATTTAAAATCGCAAAAATGCGTTCTATTCCATTTTTGGTTTCTGATACTTTGACAATATACACTGTTTGTTTATCTTCCACATCGTTAATTGTCATTTTACATAATTCTTCCCGGCGACAAGCTCCCGCAATTCCAATTATAAAAGCTACCTAAAAAATAACATATTGTAATGTTACAAATAATTTATTAAACATTAGGAAATATCTTGACGTTGCGCATGTAAAACTCCAAATAAATGCTATTGTAAAAAATATAAAAGTTTTAGGTATAATGTGCTGCCTAACAACCCCGGTGGCCTGTTAGGACTGCAACTGATTTTGTTAGGCAACACACCATACGAACACACATCTCGTTGCAAAACTTTACAGAATATTTTAATTTTATACTGAGCATTCAAGCATTTACTGAGGCATTTACTTACTTTGATCATTAAAAACTTGGAATCTGGAGCTTTCAACAGAAAATTAATTAGATCTTCTCGTTCAAAAATTTTGGATTTTTTTGGTTTATAACCTTTATTTTTTTGTTTGAGAAACGCTATTAACTTGTTGAATTTCGAAATATCAACGTTGTTTTTATATTTTAAGGTGCTTTTAAGCATAGAATAAATCGACCATAGGGTAGAAGCTTTGCAATTCTTCAATTCGTCAGAGAAATATGCTAAAATAACGTTTTCCGAATATTTTGTCACCTTATTCTTCCTACACGATTCTATAAATGCATTGTATTTTTGCTGATAAATATATGCATATTTTTCTGGCAATAAATTTTCAGTGGCCTTTTGTGCACTGCATAAGATATCTGGGGGAGTATTATCAAATTCGCTATCGCTAGATAAATTTGAATCCATATCGATTATGACAGATATAATAAACTGCAAATAAAATTTGAATTTAAGTAAACAAACATTAAAAAGTAAAACTTTTTACCTTCTCAAACCCACTCACCCAAGGATCTGTACAAACTTGTACAAGGTACAAAGGTGATAGAGTGGGTGCTATGAACTAACATGGGGTAAAACACAATAAGCCAATAGGCTTCAGACGAGCCCAGGAAAAAAAACAAACATTAAAAAGTAAAACTTTTTACCTTCTCAAACTTGATTGAGTTTAAAAAAAATGCTAAATTGGCTTTATAATCTAATCTTGAACTTAAGTATACTTTTGTCGTGTTCTGTTATAAGGTAGGTACTAATTAAAAGTTTAGAGATTGACAGTTCTTCTAATCCACACAGCCACGGCCAACTTACTTTTACCAAAATCGACATCCACTGTATGTTTACTTTTAATTAAATCGATGACATTTAGAGAAAATTATAATTAAAATAAACTGTTGATAATTTGTTGGACACTAAATAGATATAAGCAAAAATAATTTATTTATTTATTTATTTGTCTTAGAAGGAGATAGCAAAAAAATGTTAATATAAAATAAAACGTTATATTTTGTTGTTATGTACAAATTTTGTCAAATTTTACTTTTTTTAACTAGTGCATAAAGAGTTTTACTTTACGCACTAGTGAAAAAAAGTACAACTTTACACACTTCGTGGAGTGCGTAAAGTACGTACTTTATGCACGGTAGTAGAAAAAACTGTTTATTCGTATTTTAAAATATGAATAGCTTAGATTCCCATATACTTTTTTTTATCAAATTGTTTGTATTAAAATATTTGTAGTTAAACCCCTAAAATCGAGCCTAAAACCCCTCGAATATATGTATGTTATTACCTTTTCTCTTATACTACTTTTCCGATATTCTGATTTTTTTTTCTTGAGTTGACTCTTCTTAGCACAAATTTCGTTCATCATTCCAGCAGTGTCTCTTGCAAAATTAAATAAATATCGAGTATTAAAAAACATGTTCAAATTACAAATAAATTCTTTTAATAGCTATTTATGCAACCAATTACCTTATTTCATGTATCGAGTGAATATTTGCGGGACGAGCAGAGCGAGATCCCGCAATATGAACGAGTTGCATAAAAAGGCATTTCGTAATGTGTTACATACAATATTTTTTCTTGCAACTGGTGACATAATAAATTTTTCGTAAGGGGGCGTCCATTAATTACGTAAGGTGTTCAAGGGGGGGGAGGGGATCAAGCTAAATCTTTCCAAATCTCACTTGGGGATGAGAGGGGTCTTTTTAAATATGACGTAATTTTTTTCTAGTAGAAAACGGTTTAAAATTGCGTGAAAGTAAAGTTAAATTAAAGTAAAGAATATTTTTAGAAATTGTATATTACGGCAATGTTCTCAAATACTAGTCTTTGCTAGTCTTAAATAAAATAAAAAAACATATTGTGTTTTTTAAGGCATTTACACCAAAAACACAAATTTTGAAAAATCTCACTTGAGATTAGGGGAGGAAGGAGGGAGTTGAGGAAAATCTTATGAAATCTCACCAGGGGGGAAGGGAGGGTCAAAAAATTCTCAAAAATACCTCACCAGTTTCATAATGTTCAACACTATGCAACTGGCTATGTAAAGTAGGTCATTTTGTCGCTTGCTGCGATTACAAAAAATGTCACTTTATATGTCAAAATTATAAAAAATGTTTTTAATTTAGTTTTATTAGCTAATTTCTCATATCTATCACTGATTTAAATAAATAACTTTAGTGAAAGCACATAACTGTGTGCATAAATATAAGTAAAGTAGAAAATATTTGTAAAAGATATACAGGGTGTTATTGAAATACACGTACATATTAAAACTGGGTATTGCGCAGATCCCCACTGAATGTAGAAAAATATTATTTTTTAAAAATACCCCTTATTAAGGGAGTTATTAATTTTTGAAAATTAATTCTAAAACAGACGTACTTCACTGATATGTTGAGGATGACCTATATAAATTAGGTTTATTTACCTATTTTAAACATCAACAGTAATTAATATGCAAGTTTTTGTCAGATGATAAGAAAACTAGTCTTGTAAGAAATAACCATGTTGCCAAGATTTTCGAATTAATTTCTATTTCCGAAGACTGGTTTTTACTACCCTCGTTATCAAAAAACTAGAATATTTGATAAATGATTGTTTTTAAACTATACATTTTTGAAACTATAGATTATTAAAATTTTAGTTGATTTACGAATCTGGCTAACACGAGCGCGTCATTTCCAAGTTGGTAAAAAGTGTTGTTACGATTACTTTTAAATATTTTTTTACGATGCCACTATTTACGAATATTGAACTAACGGATATAGTGCTGGTTTATGGGGCAGCTGGAGAAAATTCTCGGCAAGCACAAATCCTGTATCGCGAACGGTTTCCAAATCGGAGAATTCCGGACTGTCGTACGTTTATTTCAACTGTTCAGCATCTAAGAGACCATGGAAAATTTGAGAGTGTCAATGCAGATCGAGGGAGAACAAGAACACAAAGAACATTGGCGGCCGAAGAAGAAATATTGGAAGCTGTTGAAAACCGGCCTCAATTAAGTTGTAGAAGACTAGGTCTTGAAATTGGAGTGTCCTCATTTGTTGTGTGGCGGACACTTAAAGAACAAGGTTTACATCCTTATCACATCCAAAAAGTCCAGGCCTTATATCCAGGTGATGAAGAAAAGAGAGTGGAGTTTTGTGAATGGATGATTCAAAAATGTGTTGATATTCCTGATTTTCTAAAAATATTATTGTATACTGACGAGGCTTCATTCACTCGTGATGGCGTGTTCAATATGCACAATACGCATATTTGGAGTGATGAAAATCCTCACGCCATTAGGGAAACTGGGCATCAAAGAAAATTTTCAATAAATGTTTGGGCTGGCATAATAGATCAGTATTTAATCGGGCCTTATGTTTTCCCGAACAGATTAAATGGGCCAGGATATCTACACTTTTTAGAAGATATTTTGTCAGTACTCCTAGAAGAGATACCGTTACAATTAAGGCAACGGATGTGGTACCTACTAGATGGCGCTCCTCCTCACTTTGATTTAAACGTACGGCAGTTTTTGAACATTAGATTTCCTCAAAAGTGGATAGGCAGAAATGGACCTACTAAGTGGCCTCCGAGATCTCCGGACTTAAATCCATGCGATTTCTTTTTGTGGGGTCACATGAAACAACTGGTTTATAATGAACCTATTAATAGTGTTGAACAATTAACCAATAAAGTTAATGCGGTAGCCGAGGAACTACGACAAAATCCAAGACTAATTTCTAATGTTCAAAGTTCTTTGGAAAGACGATTGCAAGTGTGTGTAAATAATAATGGACGGCATTTTGAACAATTACTGTAATAAACTTTATTTTGAATTAATTGGTTTTGCTACGGCAACAGTGCAATTTCTATGGGTAAGTTCAATTTCGATTTATTTTACTTCTTTAAATATGGAAACTAGTAGGTCGGAAAAGGGGACTCTTCCCCAATATTTAAATTTTAGAATTTGAAGTTAAAATTGGTGCCAATCGTTTTTGGTCATTACATACTATTCCCCATTTTAATATGTACGTGTATTTCAATAACACCCTGTATAATGTATATATTATGGGAAATTTCATGTTATTTTTTGTAACGTTTTCTTTGTTAATATGGTATGTTTAATTCTATTGTCTATTATAGATATTATAATAATGCACTTACTTTTTCCCTTTGGAACATATTTGCTCGGTCCTATCCATTTCACTAAGTCCTTTAAACATTTCTGGTTCGCTAGCAAACTTTTTAAGAGTGTTTACTAGTATTTCAAGATCGTTGCTCCATAAGTCGTGACTCGGTGTTAAATCTTAAAATATTTTTGTATGAGTAATAAAAAAAAATTTCTAAAATAAACCATGGCGATATTGGGTAATGGAAATAACACGATTGCCTGAGGGTACATTTTTTGTTTTTTAAATGACAGTTTTGATTGATGCATTGAATTGCGTTGCCTTTCAATGCCTTTCGTTGCATTGCGTTGTGTTTTATTGCTGTGCTTTGCGTTGCATTGCGTCTCAAGTAACACACAAAGCTATAAAATGTTGGTATAATTGATTAAAACGTTACAAAATACACGTAAACTACACATTAAATAACTTAAATTTTTATAACTGATACACATTTTTTTATTAGTGCATAAACTAATAGTTAGAAACGTATAACTCAATTAAGTTGTTTTAAAATGTACAATGTAGTTGTTATAACGTTTCTATAACTTTTAAATTATAGCTATTTTTAATACATACATATTCACTTAACGATACCGTTCTAAACTAAAATTTATTTTGTCAGAGAATTTAGGTAGATTACACCAACTTTTTAGACAAAATGTAAGTTTACTATTAAGGTTTATTTAGTTGCCATTAGTGAGATATTTACCCAGACAGCACACCAAATCCTTTGGATATCTACTGAACAATATCCACTGAATGTCCAGTCCATGGTAGATATCTATTTTATATCCATGAGATGTAATTTATAGACATGCAAATGTCCATAAATAATAGTAATTATATAGCAAATTAATAAAAAATTACACCATTGTGCTCGCCATTGTGGCTAATAGTACCGTTCAGATATTTAAAATTAATTTTTTAAGGTGTATTCAATATCCCATGAACATCCACTAAATATATCAAAGTCTAGGCGCGAACGCAAACCATCATGGATATCCACTAGATGTTATTTGATTCTGCTTACTAAGTATAGATGGCGATACCACTTTCGCATCTACTCATACCCGACCCGCCGTGATTGAGTTCGATCGAAATTTGTGTCCTAATCAGACTCCATTAGAGACTGGAGTCGAGAATTTCCATTTATTGCTGAAGAGTCCTAATAAGGATGACTTTCTCCTTAGTGGGCAAAATCAAAGGCAGAGTGTTGAAAATATTTTTTATCTCTGCTATTTTCTTTCGACGTTATTCAATAATCATTGGTTAATTATGAACCTCTACTAAAGATACCCATAAAATATTTTGCTGAATATCCGAATATCTTCTATATCCTGGGATATAGACGGACATTTGGTTGGATATCCATATTGGATATATTGAATATCCACAAAATATATTCTGTGGATATCTCTAGGATTTCTTGTATTTTCTGGAAGATACCCATTAGATATTTTGCTGAATATCCATTAGGATATCTTCTATATTCTGGATATAGACGGACGTTTGGATATCCATATTAGATCCACGGAATATTTCTGATATCCTGTGGATATATTGGATATTCACAAAAATATTCTGTGGATATCTCTGGGATTTGGTGTGTTATCTGGGTACGATGTAATATCATTTTGTAAGTAGTAACTCTAAAATGTTTATACCTGTTGGTCTTTATTAGATATACCGGGTTTCAAATTAAAGTGTTACAGTCAAATACCGCTGAAAATATGCATTTTAGAAAAAAGTTTTAGACAAAAGTTTTATAGTTTTTTGGGGGAAACATTTTGGCTAAATTAATTTTTTTGTAGCTGACCATAATATGGCCATATCGAGGTGGTTTTTTTAAATGGAAATCCCATTTTTTCTTACATATTCTTAAAGTACATAAAAAAATAAGAAACTTTTGAAGGAAATATATTTTTTATTGGACTTTTACTTTTTGAGTAACAGCTACTTGAAAATGTTGCTGCGCGAAAAAAAAGTTGGCCATATTATGGTTAGCTATAAAAAACGATTTTAGCCAAAAGTTTTTCCCCACAAAACTATAAAACTTTCGTCTGAAACGTTTTTTTTTTATAAAAAGCGGTATATAGCTGTAACGCTTTAAGTTGAACACCCGGTATAAGTAATAATCTATAGATAAAACCAAATTATAACATGACATAACTCTTAACATTTTTATATCCATTTGTAATTATCTAATAACATTATCTTTTTATAAAGTTATAGGTTAGTTAAAACTAGAGTTATAGCAACTACTCTAAAACGTATACTATAAGGTTGTATATATCCACTAAAAGACGCATAATAATATATAATAACGGTATAGGGTATTAGAATATGTAACTAAGTTGTTGAGTTTTAAGAAATGTTGTTGCAACGTCGACATAACCCTTATATAACTTTTTGTGTTACTTGGACTTGCATTGAGGTGCATTGAATTGAGTTGAATTGCGTTATATTGCGTTGCCGTTGCATTGCATCCTATTGCATTAAGTTACATTGCCTTGCTTTGTGTTACATTAAGTTGCATTGCAATGCATTAAGTTGCCTTGCCTTGCATTGAGTTGCGATGCATTTCATTACGTTGTATTGCGTTGCATTGAATTGCTTTGCATTGCGTGACATTGCGTTGTATTACGTTGAATTGTATTTCATTGCGTTGTATTACGTTTAATTGCGTTGCATTGCGGTACATTGCGTTGAATTGCGTTGTATTGAGTTGCATTGCATTGAATTGCATTGCGTTGTATTGCGTTACATTGAGTTGCATTGCGTTGCATTTCAATTGTCTCATTGGCTTTTTTATTTTATTTTGTGTTTATGTTGTTTATTTAGTCTTAAATAGTAACCAAAAATAAGGGCTTACTAATTCCTTGAGAAATTAGATTCCTAAAATCCTCCCTAACGTATAATTTGTTTTTAAAGCAGAATGCAGGTAATTCCGTTTCGCCCTCTTTTTTCGGCATAGCCAATTCATTAAAACAGTCATGATAGTCTGTCAATTCTAATCCAGAAACCGTTTTCGGACTTGGATTCGGCTCGTTGTGCGGCCAAGGCAAGATAGTATCGCATAAACGTGGTAATCGCATTTGGACTGGAGCCTTTTCCTTCGGCAATATTTCAGATAGTTCGAATGACATTAACTTTTGGATGGATAACAAGAATTGAGCTTGGGTGGGTGCTGAACGTAGCGCAAAGTTGATGAACTTTTGATATTGTTTGATGACCTCCAGGTAGCAGACTTCGCGTAGATTGAGGTGCTGTATTTGGCCTTCTATCTGCAAAAACATGAATTAATTAGGAGGATAATTTATTGGTTATTATTCCATTGGAAATTTAATTTCCCATGCCAAGTACCAAGTGTATTTTCTTTTCATGAGAAAATATTCCTAGTTGATGTGTAGAGAATACAAAATATAAATTACCATAGGAAAATTATCTTTTGGTGACATTGGTGACAATTAATTTTTAACAAAAACAAATAATTCTGTCATTGAATTTGACATGTTTTTACTTTTTTTTTAATATTATTTGCATATCGTAAAATACCTATATATGAAACTAGTTACTTTTAACAATAATGTATTGATTTTAAAACAAACAAGGTTTATTTCTATTTTTTTTTGCAACTGGTGTCATAATAAATTAATAATATTTTAAAGGCAGCTCTGAAAAATGAGTAAAATATAACACAAATATAAACCAATTTGCATAGTTATGTTTACTTTTTATATATTTTTTACTTTACCTCTTTTTGTAAAGTCTCCATTTTCTTTTTCTGTATCGAAACCTTAAGAATTAAGTCCGATTGTATTTTGGAATAATGTTTTTCGATTAATTTCTTCTCGTTTAAACATTTTTGCCGTTCCATACACAACAGGTACATCATATTTCCAATATTTTGACATTCGATACGTTGCTTTTCTATTTGTAGAGTTTTCTCAAATTCCGCTGATTGTTTTTCTACTTCGTACTGCTTTATTAGTTCTTTTTTCCTAATAATACGTAAACACGTGAACTCCAGTAAATGTGTAAATTTACTAATCAATGTATACATTTACGGATGAGTATATTAAATAAAGTATAGACTAAATTGAAAAATAGTTAAACGACATATGTTTAAAATAAAAATTCATAACTATTTAGAATTTTGTTTTGATGTTTGACCACCTCCAAAAATAATTTTAATGTGCCCAAGTATTGTGAAAATTCGAAAAATAAGAGAAGGAAATGGTATTTCGACTTGAAAAAAATGGTCAAACGACATGAGTACACAAAAAAGATCCATAACGATTGAGTATTATGTTTTGACGTTTGACTACCCCCTTAAAATAATTTTAAAGTAATGTGGAAATTTGAAAAATAAAATTTGGAAATCGAATTTCGGCTCGGAAAAATAGTTAAATACAGTGGCGCATCCAGAGTTTAAGTTTGGGGGGGGGGGGGGGTAGTGAAAATATTGACTTTATTTCTGATATAATTTAAAAACAAAACAAACAAAAAACATTTAATACAAGTAAATTTAAAAAGAACAACTTTTACATGTATAATAAATATTAAACACATTTTAAAAACATTAATAACACGAAAGCTTATAAATGAAAACATAACAAAAACAAACAAAAATATTGTTACGCTGGTTTTTGGTATCTCAATTTATTTAAACTCAACTTTTACAACAACTATTCAACTGATAACATTAACATGTAACGTCTATCATAAAACTGAAACTCTGACGTCAGGTCGTCGACTTATATAGCTTGCATCGATCTTCTAGAACCTTCTCGAAGAATCTGGACTTTTTTTTGACAAGAAATGACATTTCGAGACATTTCTGGAATATTCTATCTTCTTTATTTACGCGTACCTTTAGTTATGACGACCGCAGCACGCTGACTGACCGTCAAACGTGGGTGGCTTAATAATCTTGGTAGTATGGATTTGTGAAACTGGGTGTTGAATATGGCTTGGTTCGATTACAGATGAGGATGAGGTAGTGTTTTCAGCTTTTCTGTTGCTTATCTTTCTAACTCAACTAGTTCAGTTCTAATTTGACTTTCGAATTCTACTCTAGCCTTTTCCTGTTGTTTTAAATTATCTCGTTGTTGTTCTAAATTAGTTTTTAAATGCTCTTGCTGCTGTTCTAACTTAGTTTTTAAATGGTCTTATTGTTGCTCTAAAAGATCTACTTACTCCCCTATTTTGAGCTGACCAATCTCTTGCTTGAAGGTTTCTTGGATTTGTAACAAAGCATTCATAATTTCTACTTGAGCTTTTTTATGCCTCTCCTCCTTCTCTTTTTCCTCATCCTTCCGGCGCCTTTCTTTCTTTTCCTCTTCTTCCTTCTTACGATTTTCCTTTTCCGCCTCTTCTTCCTTCTTACGCCTTTCCTTTTCCTCCTCTTCTTCCTTCCTACGCCTTTCCTTTTCATCCTCTTCTTCCTTCCTACGCCTTTCCATTTCCTCCTCTTCTTCCTTCATACGCCTTTCCTTTTCCTCGTCTTCTTCCTTCCTACGCCTTTCCTTTTCCTCGTCTTCTTCCTTCCTACGCCTTTCCTTTTCCTCCTCTCCTTCCTTCATACGCCTTTCCTTTTCCTCCTCTCCTTCCTTACTACGCCTTTCCTTTTCCTCCTCTTCTTCCTTCCTACGACTTTCCTTTTCCTCCTCTTCTTCCTTCCTACGTCTTTCCTTTTCCTCCTCTTCTTCCTTCATACGCCTTACCTTTTCCTCCTCTTCTTCCTTCCTACGCCTTTCCTTTTCCTCTTCTCGCTTTACTCTCTCCTCTTCCATCTTCAAAAACCATGCTGGTGGGCCTGAAGTATCCATGCCTGCTTCATATTCAGTGGATCTAGTATTTACTATGAACTTTTACTTTGTATTCCACCGCTGTCACCAATGTTACGCTGGTTTTTGGTATTTCAATTTATTTTAACTCAACTTTTACAACAAATATTCAACTGATAACATTAACATGTAACGTCTATCATAAAACTGAAACTCTGACGTCAGGTCGTCGACTTATATAGCTTGCCTCGATCTTATAGAACCTTCCCGAAGAATCTGGATTTTTCTTTGACAAGAAATGACATTTCGAAACATTTCTGGAATATTCTATCTTCTTTATTTAGTCGTACCTTTACTTATGACGTCCGCAGCACGCTACAGGGTGCTGCGTAACAATATTTTCTTGGGCATAACATACTCGCATGACCAGAAAACATGAAATGAAAAAAATTATAACGTAAAATTAAGTCGTCTATTTTTATTATTTGCAAATCTATTTATAATATGGTCTACATTTACTTGAATGTCTCTGTGTATAAACGAGAAAATTATATTTTTAAAAAATTGAAAAAAATGTAAAGAAATTAACGAAAAAAGAAAAATTCGTCTGTTAAATCAAAAACTATAAAAAAAATCAAATATAAAATTAGTAATAATGATAAAAAAACGGAAGAAAAAATTGATAAAAATGTATAAACTTTTTATGACTAATTCTTACTTAAATTCAATTTGGAAATGCTTTTCTAAAACTTCTTCTTGTCTAGCTAGTTCGTGTAACAATGTTTTGGTTACTTTTTTCGTAGTTTTTTCGACAGCCTTTTCCAATTTACGTTCCCATTTTTGCCCCAATTCATCATTGTGTTGTTTGCTGTAGTCCTGGAACTCCTTTTCCATTTTTTTTTCTAAATCCTCTATGTCGTCTACCTATTGACAAACGGAATAATAGTTGTAAACTTATACTTTCAATTCAATTCAATTCAATTCAATGCAATGAATAAGCTATAGATCGTGTCTAATAAACAGTTTTGTAAGTCTAAAATAGAAAGTAAGTCTGTTCTTACAGAAGAACCAGTTGTGTTTGATAAAATTCTTTTAGATTAGATGGTGCCATCTCCAAATATTCCTGACCTCTAAAAATATGATCTGGCATAATCATATGTATCTGCCTCTAGTAAAAAATTACTTTTAAGATAAATAACTCACTATAACTCATTAATGGGCCATATAAAAATCTAAAATTAAGTGATGTTCACACATTTCGAAAACCTCTAGTCTTGAACTAAAATGAGGCAATTTACCTAAGTAAAATAAAAAATAATTGTTTGACATTTTGTCATAGTTATAGATCAGTGGTCGCCAACCTCTCAATGTGTTGAGCTACTTTGTTAATTTTGGAATAAACAGCGAGATACCCACACGGAAGCCACGTAACGCAACGTAAATGAAATAATCCACAGTTAATTTATCATTATATGCATTTATTTTACTATTTAACTGGTAATACATAATACATAGGTACTAATAATAAACTCATAACAAAATAACTAATATTACTAGTACGTACTTGTTCATAGCTACATTCCTACCTACCAAACGAAGGTGTTTGAGCCACAACGGCATGTCACGTAAGATTTAAAAATAGTTAATAATAACAACAAAAAAGTAAAGCACTATCATGAACATAAACTTTGAAAAATAAAAAAGCACATTCAATGAGAAGGCTGACACTCAGACTCATCGATAATTTTTTTAATGTTTGCAGTATAATTTGATATAGCCATTCGAATACAATTATCCAAATGTTTATCTGTAAGTCGATTGCGATATTTGTTCTTAATAAACTTCATATTGGAAAAAGAAGATTCACACAAATAGGTTGAACTGAATAATGCTTTCACTTTCAAGGCAACACGGCATAGAACTGAATATTTGTCTTTACTTACAATAGGCCAGATACATTTGGTACTTGAGACTAACGATTTTAAGGCTAAATCATTTTGAAACTCAATTACTTCCATTTCTGTTGCAGCGATGTCTTCGCCAAAGTTCTGCATACCACAAGTTGCAAACTGTTGGATATCAATTTCCATAAAGGGTGAAACAACAAACTGCGCTACTAAAGCCATTTCGTTGAAATCCTTAAAACGATTTTTGAAGTTATTCTTCAGGGTAGAAACTATTTCTACATGATATTTGCTGTCATAGGGTTCTAATGGATTTTGAGATATTTTTTCTGAAAGAATAGGAAAATGCTTGGCATCGCTGTTAATTAGGTTTTGTTCCCAAAACTCCAGCTTTTTGATAAATGCTTTTATATCAGAAATCATTTCCGCTAGTTCTTTGTCTCTCCCCTGAAGCTGCAAATTAAGTTCGTTTAATTTCTCTGTAATGTCCACGAGAAAACCAAAATCTCTAAGCCAAATTGAATTTTCTAGTTCCGAAGTCGGTTCATCGCGTTGTTTGAAAAATTGAACTATGCCAGATAGGACATCATTAAAACGTTTCAGCACCCGTCCTCTACTTAACCATCAGACTTCAGAGTGAAGGAGTAGGTCCCCGTATTGACAGTCAACTTCATCGGCCAAGGTTTTGAATAATCTTCTTTATAACGCTTGAGCTCTAATCTTGTTCACAATTTTTACCACCAGTTTCATAACGTTGTTTAGTTTCAGGAAATTTCCACATAATGCTTGCTGATGGAAAATGCAGTGGTAACAGAGAAATTGCGGAAAAGTTTCATCTTTACGACATAACGTCACCAGACCCTTATCACAACCCACCATAGCTGAAGCGCCATCGGTTGTCAAGCCTACCGTTTTCGATATTGGAATTTTCTCGGAAGAAATAATATTTTTTAAATGAGAAAACAACTCCTGTCCAGTAGTGTGCCCTTTCAGTGGAATAAACTTCAAAAGATCTTCTTTAATCGTAAAATCACTAAAAACCATCTTGACGAACACGACCATCTAGGCAGTGTCAACGACATCTGTTGATTCATCTAGTTGAAGTGAAAAATAAACACAGTTATCTAAGTCAGTTCTTAACTGTAAAAAAATATCATTGCTCATTACTTCTACACGTCTCATCACTGTATTAGCAGAAAGTTGCATAGATTTTATAGCTGAAACTATCTCGTCTTTATTTCTAAAGTTGGCAAATAACGAATCAGCAGCTTCTAAAAACGCCTGTTTTATCATTTCCCCGTCTTCATAAGGTTTCTTTTTTTATGCAATTATCTGGGACACACGGTACGATGCTTCAGTTGCAGCCTTATTTTTGTCGACTGTTCTTAAAAATATTGATTGTTGTCCAATTAACTGCTTTTTTAACTGTTTCAGTTTCTCCTTTCTGGCGGCAGAATGTAGTGGGAATGATTTTTCAAAATTAGAATGTACAGTTTTATGATGTCTCTCAATATTTCCTTTTTTAGCAACGGAGACCGAAGTATTACATAACAAACACACATTTTTATCTTTAACTTCTGTAAAAAAGTATTGTTCTTCCCATTCGGAATGAAAGTGGTATGTCTTTACCTTCTTACAACTGCTTGCCATACTATTATTTTTTGTTGTTCTCTACTAACCCAACCACTGGATGTTGGTTACGCGTTCAGTTTTAAACTAAGCGCAATATCAATGTCGCCGCGCCGTGCGTATTTATCCCGTTCAAAGCAATCCTGATCGTTCTCGAACACTAACGCGCTAGTCCGGCTGGTCGGTTCTAGCTTGATGGCGTCAGCGGCAGATCGCTCACCGCAACGTTGCCGCTGTTTATGTTTAATATTATGACAATTAGATTTTTTTGTGGAATTTTCGGAAGCTTCTCTGATTTTTGCAGTTTGTATTTTTTAAATTAAAATCGTTGTGAGAGGTACTAGAATTGCCTCCGCGAGCTACCGGTAGCTCACGATCGACAGGTTGGCGACCACTGTTATAGATACACCACTTTAACAAATAAATTATTACCAGTTTAAATTCTAATTGCTCTTGAAGTCTTTGCAGTTCTCTGTGACACGCGGTTCTTTCAACGGCTTCAGCATCTTTGATTTGTTCGATGATACTGTCTTGGAACTGTTTGGCTAGTATTTGTTTTTGTAGTATCAAAGCTTCTTGTTTTTCTATTTCGTATTGTTCAAGAATGTCTTGTTCCAATTTTGTTCCGATATCTCGAAAATGAAGAGTTAGATTTAATCAGATATACCTTCGGCAAGTCTTTGATTTACTAAGAATTAGAAAATTTAAACAAATCAAGAAATATATTGGCTGCTATGAAGTCAAGAAACGCTATTTTCAAACCACAAAAAGATAAAAAAACAATTTAAAAATAATAAAGATGTTAATCAAGGTGATTCTGACAATTATTACAAAAAGAAATAAATAAATCTGTGGGCATAAGTAATTTTTTTAAATTGTACTCACTTGATATTATCTTGTGAGCAGTGGCTTGTATATATTTTCTGGTAAATGGAGCTTTCATAATCACGTTTGTCTGCAGTGTATCGCTTGGAGAGTGCCAAACATGGCCGAAAAATGCCCTTCTCCTTTTCTCCAAACACAAACAAGGATCGCACGTGCATACATCGTATAATAAGAACCACAGTGGTCCTAACCGCTTTTTTGCTTTTTTTATCGTTGGAATGTTTCTGTAGTCGATGACTACCCCTCTTAAAATAATAATACGTTATTTAGGAGAATATGATTAGATTCAGTAAAACCGTGAAAAAAAATATCCAACTACCTACCATAAATAAATAAAGATTTTATTTTTTCCTTATAGTAACAACTATAGTAATTTTTCCGTGTATCAATCATTAACTAACGGTAAACAAATCTGTAATGGGAGAGAAACATGTTCCAACCAAACAGATGCTGATGGTTACTTAGCTAAAGTGGAAAGAAATGGCGAAGGACAAAAGTACTTATCAACAAAACACTTAACAAACAGAACAATGCTAATAACTCAAATCAGTCCAGCTTCGAATATCGAGAATTAAGTGATTTTGTTGTTTATGTATTAGACAAAGTATTTCTATTTTTTAATATTATTCCTCTGGATTTTTTTTCAGACCATCCAGATTATTCTTTCAAAGTATGCATCAGTTAACTACATCTGAATGAGTTAGTGGTATTCAACTTAAATAGAACCAAATTGTACCCTCATGGACTTTATCAAAAATAATATATGTAAAATGTAATTAGTTAAATTTTACGTACTTTCTTTTATGGCCCATTTCACAGACGATTTTTTTCTTAAATCCCAAGAAATTTATAAATATCTTATACTAAAATATTGATAGATATATTCACAAATAATCTCACATGTTTGTCATTATTTATGTCAGACACAGTGGCGTCAAAGAATACCTACCCAAGAAGCGAAACTGAATGAGTTTTCGTATGTACCAAAGCAAGGGAACTTAATACACTGGGAAACGTATAAAAGTTAATCAGTTTTTGTCGTTTGGTTCATAATTATTAAAACACATACTAAGTAACAATGACAGACAGAAAATTCATACTATGTTCATTATGTCAAATACATTATTTTAATTGCGAAATAAGTACTGTAGGTACAATAATGACAGTCACTACACAATAGCGAAAGCAGATGACCTGGTCATTCTGCAAATAGAATAATTATGGAACAGTGGTGCAAGGACCATTTACTGTCTATCAATCTCAAGAAGACAGAAATAATCTTTTTTAATAGGAAAATGATGAACATGGAATTAAAACCTACAAAGCTCCTAAACACAAAACAAAACTTTGCAATAGTTGCACCTTTGACAACAAGTTAACATAGAACTCACAGTTAGAAAACAGTCAAAATGGCATACATTACGTATGAATAATGCCACCACATACTTTGATTTTCTTATACTATACGGAGAATGGTCGCACTGCGCAGCTTTCTGAGTGTCTTTTAAAAGGAGATAGAAAACTCCGCCATTTTGAACCCTTATTACGTGTTGCCTACATCTTGACGCAATATTTTTAATAGGTGCGTTTTAATCATCCGCTTCTGCTTCGGAATTGTCGGTTTTCTTGTTTTAATCTGACAGGTTAAAACGACTAAACCGAAAATTCCGGAAGCAGAAGCGGATGATTAAAACGCACCTGATATTTTGCTTGCTGCTGTCAGTGTCAGTGAATATTATTTTTGAAGTCACAGTTTATTGCTAAAGAATCAGTTAGCTCACTCGGACCAGTTGAAAGTTCCAAAATAACATCCACTCCAGGGGGTCGATTCTCGACTTGTAGGAACCTTTTCCTATAGGAATTTGTGGCACTTTCCTATATGTAGGAAAATGTCATAAATTTTCGATGTATATAAAAATGTCAAAAATTCCTATAGGAAAATATTCCTACGAGTCGAGAATCGACCCCCTGGGATACAAATTCAGGATACGCAGAAGACTGCTGTTTTATTATAGGCGGTTCATATATACATATACAATGTATTTTTTTTTCATGTAATACAAATTTTAAAACTATTAAATTTCTTATTACTACTTAGTTAAATACAACTACTTAACTATACTGAAATTTTCACAAAACGCTAATAATAATATACCAAACGTTGCTCTACATAAATTGACAGCTATATTTGACGTTAAACCACCTCTAAAACACTGAGAAAACTTGGCAGTTTTTTGTCCACGAATCGCCCATTTAGTGTCGCTTCTTGGGTAGGTATTCTTTGGTGGCGTAGTAAGAAACATTTTCGGGGGTGGATAAATACATTAGAGTCAAATTTTAGTATAAAAATATTTCAAACATTACTCAGATTTTAATTGATTTTAGAATAATGAAACAGTTTCGGGTGGAGGAAGGGGGTGGGTTTTTCGTTCCCAAACAATTTTCCACAATTTGTATAAATGGAACGATATTTTCAGAAGCGCCGTATTTCAGTGCTACACTTTCGATGCGAAGGAGAAGACCTGATAATATCTACTTTGAGTAGAACTGTCAATCATGAATTTCATGGCTATCCACAATGCGGACGTGATATTCACAACCATTGGCCAGTATCTATTACAAAATCAACATTTTGTCATATTATGATAAAAATTAATACAGATATTATTATTTGAAACTTATATAAAATTACTAATAGTAGATTATGAGTAAAATCGTATACACACCTTTGGAGAACTTTTTCTGTCTCGTCTCCGAAGGTAGAATAAAAAAAATAATTAGACATCAAAAACATATATTTTCTCAAAAACAAAACAAGACATCATTGTTGACAAGAAGTGAATAATTTAATAAGATTAGGATGAGAATCCATAATTTTGATAAACGATCGAACTCTATCTTTAGTGAATTCATTATTATTTTGCAAGTATTCTTTATTTGTTTTATCTCCTTCGATTTCTGCTGATGGTTTGTATAGATTCTGGCAGGGGTCCACCTTCACTTTACTTTTATTCTCTAAAAATAAAAAAGGAATTACATTAGAAAACATTTTTACTTGGTGAAAGAAAATAGGAAAAACTCAAACAATTGTTATAATATGAAAATGTTAAAAATGAAGAAACTAAAAATAAAAGTATAATTATTAACAAATTTTGTTTCTTCTTTTTTTTATTGATAAACGCAACCACTTTTTATTTGATTTCTGCGAGAAAAAATAAAGGTACTTTACTCTTCAGTAAAAATAATATTTTTTGACAAACCTCGTATACAGTTTAAAAAAATTGATATCTGATGATCGCATTTTAAGTTTTGGATCATGCAGAGCTTTTTTCAAGAATAAATTTTTTCACAAATATTTCCTAAAATTGTAATAAATGTACCTGAGCTATTACAAGTTTTGGGTCTTTTATTGGTCCTTTATAAACATAAGCTGTACAGAACAATAGAAAAAGGTTTGGACAGGCCAAAAGCCCTGTGTATTAAAGATTACATAGCCGTATCTTAAGATTATTTTCAATAAGTACCTATTTGCCAATTTTGTTTTATTTTAATTCCAAGAATTTCTTACAGTAATCGAATTATAAGTAGATAAATACCTTCCCAATAAATTTCACCGAAAATGCGATTATAGGTTTTCCATTTAGTAAGGAGGTCCAAGTTGTGTATTCTTGACAGTTTACTAAATGTCGTTTAGTTGCAACTTGCAAGGTGCAGTGTGAATTCTAGTGTGATCATGGAAAATTTGGAAGGGCCGCGTAAACGACAAAAAATCAGTCCTTTAACAGTTAATGAAAAAACATTCATATTTAATTGTTTTAAATCATTTACAGACAAACATTTATGTAAAAGTGTTGATGACACAGTGGAATTAGTTAGTAGTACGCTTGGTGTTGGGAAATCTACGATTTACAGAGTTGTTAAAGAAGAGAAATGTGGCGAGTTTCAAACAGCATGTAAAGCTCCAGGAAAACCAAAATTTCAATTAGAAAATCTTTTGAAAGAAAGACTTCGAAGGAAAGTGCATGCGTTCTTCTTTAGAAAAGAATTTCCGACAGTAGACAAAGTTCTTGCCACGGTTCGAGATGATAAGGATTACCCTGAAATGAGTCGAAGCACACTATGGAAACTTTTAAAAGAAATAGGTTTTCTATGGAAAAAGCATTCCAGAAAGTCTATTTTAATAGAAAGAAGCGATATTGTAGTATGGAGAAGAAATTACCTAAGGACTATAAAAGAAATGAGAAACCAAAGAAGAAATATATTTTATTTAGATGAAACATGGATCAACGAGGGACATAAATCAAATAAATTTTGGCAAGATGAAACTGTTGAAAGTCGAAGACAGGCTTTTTTAAATAATTTATCTACTGGTTTAAATCCACCATCAGGAAAGGGACGCAGACTAATAATAGTACACATCGGTAGTTCAAACGGTTTTGTTAAAGGTGGTTTATTGACTTTTGAATCTACTCGTACCGGTGACTACCATGACGACATGAATGCTGATGTCTTTAAAGAGTGGTTCGAACAAATTATAGATCTTCTTCCTCAGAACTGTATAATAGTAATGGATAATGCAAGTTATTACTCGAGACTTATAGAAAAAATGCCCACAACCAAGTAGTTAAAAAAAGATTTACAGAATTGGCTAAATTCAAAGAATATTAAGTTCCATCCCGGTTCTGTGAGAAAAGAACTGTATCATTTGTGTTCCCTTCATAAAGAGAAATTCAAAAAATATGAAATTGATGAATTTGTAAAAAATCGTGGGATGAAGGTGGTTAGATCACCACCATATCATTGCGAAGTAAACCCGATTGAACTAACATGGGCACAGATAAAGGGAGAAGTTTCAAGAAAAATTAATTCTTTTAAAATGAGTGATGTTAAACAGTTGTTTTTGGAGGCTGTAAATAATGTGAAGCCTGAAAACTGGGAAAAGAAGAAGAGAAAATGTGGAAGTTGGACAATATTACTGATGAAATGATCGAGCCATTCATTGTAAATATTGGTTGCGACAGTTCATCTTCTGATTTCGATTCTGATTTGGATTTGTAGGTAAGAAGTAGTTTTTATATTAAAATTATTATTTATGAACGTAACGTTGTTTAAAAGTCAAAGTTTAAACCCTTATACCTATATAACCCGTTTGACACAATGTTATTAACATACCTTGTGGAAAAATAAAACATTTTAGAAAAAATTGCACTTTTTCACCTTCAGCTTTTTAGAAGTTATAAGCAGGTTAATTAGGTGAAAATATAAGTGTATACTCGAGGAATAACTTCAAAAAATATTTTAACTGTCTACTAAAAGAAGTGATACGCCTATGGATTACGAACGCTTTATTATTTTAATACTCTCTCATACATAAAAATAGACTATAAACGGGCAAAAATTTACGACGACCCCAAATGCGAAATTTTTACCCAGACTCCTCAGTTGAAAAGTTCCGAATTGCAGGATACCCTTCTCATTATCCTGGTTATAGAAATTATTCTTTAGAAATCGAATGTTCTACAAAATTAAACACTTGAATTCGAATTAGTATAACAAAAATAAATCATTAAAAAGAAAAAGGGAAAAAACTGTTACTTAAAATAAATATTTCTTTTATGTATGTATTTGTAATTATTTATTCTTCATAGCTCGTTACTTAACTATCTAATAATAATATCCTTACATATTTGATGTAATTTATAAAATATTATCTTTTAATATTCATGAAATTTCTGAAAGTATCATCTACAAACTCTACGCGTGACATGCGCGTGATCGTTCTATTTTTGACTCTGTTGATAAAAACGTCTTTTTTTTATACCATGGTTAATAACTGTGTATAATATAAATAAAGATTTTCAAAACAAAGCGAAGCATTGTTAAAGGGAAATGTGATTAATTGTTTTTGTTCATTTTTCGTCATTACCTTTGGGTTTCCTGGCAGGCTTAAAATGTTTCCCTGTTCCCATTATAAGCGAGTTGTCAGAATCGATGACAGTGGGTTCAGGTACGACAATTACGTTCTTAGTTGAGACTTGATCCATTTCGATGACTTCAACGTGCGACAATTTCAATTGCTTCGGTTGATCCATACCAGAAGGATCTGATTTTTCATTTTCATTTTTACCTTGACGAAGGCTCATTTTGTCTTCGCTTATTTCTTTCAAACATTTTTCACAACAGTAATCTTTATCGTAATGCCTGAGAGCGTTTCTGTGATGGCAAATATTACATACTCCTGCTGATAGCAGTGCCAATCTAAAATGTAAGATATAAATGAGAGTAAAAAGTAATCAATAAATACTTTCTACCCTTGTAAAGTATTTATTGATAAATATTAAAATTGTAAACTTAATTATCAAAAAAAATTATTGTGATTTTAAGAGAGATTAAACCAACATATAATTTTTTTTATATAAAGACGAAGTCAAGAAAAGTTCTTTAAATCTAACAATACGTTATCACCTTTACATAAAAATTCATACATTCAACACATAATCAAATCACTAAAGCAGACAGCAACAAATGCAAGAAAAACTTATGACAGAGACACAAGGTTCCTTGTAGCCGAATTGAAATCAGGCATCCCTCTGCTCCCTCCTGTAGGTATTCAGCAGGTTTCCCAACCTGGCTTGGGTTCCAACCTGTTTTGGAGTTCGCATAGTGAAACTGTAGCCCTGTACGTTTATTGTTCCACCATTTGAATGCTCTACTCCTTCCATTCACTCAACTCATACATTCTAGTCATACATTCTACCATCTAGATAGCGACATACTTGGATTCCTTCAGATAAGCTACAGAATCTCTTGTAGATATCAGTTTCGACGAATGTTTTCTCAACACAGCTGATAGTTCAGATTCGTTCTTAACGTCTATCGAATCCTTTGGGGTGAGAGAAAAGCTTCTACATCGTTGCTTTATCAGCGAAGTTTGACGTAGAATCATGGAGTCTCGTATTTCCAGTGGCAGGTTTCCGCTTCTTTCTGAAATAGAGTAATTGAAAAATTAATTAAATTCGTACCAGTCAGTTTTTTGTGATTTTTTTTGTTTCTTTTTTGTTTTCTTTTTGTTTTTACTGCCTTCTATAAAAAGAAAGTACTGTAATAGTGAAAAAGTCACTTTCCAAGATTATTTCATATTTTCACGTTTTAGGGACCCTAGATTATAAAAAAACATGTTTTCCCATTCCGTCGGTCTTTCTGTCGGTTGGCGCGATAGCTCAAAAACTTTTGTATGGAGATAAGGTTCCTTTCTGGCACGAAACCAGTTATACTTCCGATCAGTTATATACAGTGTTCATCCATTTATTTTTAAAAGTCGACAGATTTCGACTAAAATTGGTATCTGAGAATTTTAGAAGCCAAAGATTACAGATTCTAAATAATTTTTAAAAATTTCAAGGAATCGTATTTAATCAAAAAAGGGCTCCCTTGAATGGAAACAATAAAAATTGTCCTTTTGGTTTGTGTAACTGAACCATTTTAAAAGCAGATAATCATTATTGTTCAATAACGGTGATCGTGGCGACGAATACCGAGTGGACGCGAAGTAAAAATTCGGGCGGGATCGAGAGGAAAATCGATGTGAAAAAGGGTTTTTGGTTTGGTTGTTTTAATTTTTGTTTGTTTTTGCTATGGATTTTTTGTGTTTTTTGGTTTTTCTTGTGATTTTTTTTGTTTTCTGTTTTCTTTTCGTTTTCACTTTTGTTTTTTGTGTTTTGGGAATAGGGATTTTGGTTTGGTGGTTTTAATTTTGATTATTAAAATTTAAGTGCTCTGGAATCCCGTTTTTACAATTTCTATATCGAGGGAAATTTTTTGTTTTTTATTTTTTTTGTTTTCTTGTTTTTTTTTGTTTTTTGGACTTTTTTGTGGTTTTTTGTGAGTTTGTATGATTTATTATGATTTTTTTATTTTCTTTGTATTTTTTGTTGTTTTTTGGTTTTTCTGTTTAACTGTTTTTTTGTTTTTTTTTGTTTTTTTTTTGTTTTTTGGTGATTTTTTATTCTTTTTGTTTTTCGTTTTTGTGTTGTTCTTTTGTGTTTTGTAAAAAAGGAGTTTTGGTTTGGTGGTTTTATTTTTAAATTATTAAAATTTATATGCTTAGGAATTCTCTCTTTTTACAATTTCTATATCGAGGGAAGTTTTGTTAGTTTTTGTGATTTTTTGTGATTTTTTATGATTTTTTTAATTTTTTTTGTTTTTGGTTTTTCTGTTTTCTCTTTTCTCTGTGGTTTGTTTTTTGTTTTTGTTATGGATTTTTTTGTGTGATTTTTTTTTATTTTTTTTTTTTGATTTCACTTGTTTTTTTGTGTTTTGGGAAAAAGGATTTTTAGTTTGGTGGTTTTAATTTTAATTATTAAAATTTAAGTGCTTAGGAATCCCGTTTTTACAATTTCTATATTGAGGGATTTTTTTTGTGTATTTTTTGTTTTTTTTTTGTTTTATTGTTTTTTGTTTGTTTTTTGGGACTTTTTTGTGTTTTTTTTGATTTTGTATGATTTATTATGATTTTTTATTTTCTTTGTATATTTTGTTGTTTTTTGTTTTTTCTTATTTTTTTTGTTTCTTGTGATTTTTTGTATTTTTTTTTGTTTTTTGTTTTTGTGTTGTTCTTTTGTGTTCTGTGAAAAAAGATTTTTTGTTTGGTGGTTTTAATTTTAAATTATTAAAATTTATGTGCTTAGGAATTCTCTGTTTTTACAATTTCTATATCGAGGGAAGTTTTGGGATTTTTGTGATTTTCTTGTGTGATTTTTTTTTGTGATTTTTTTGTGATTTTTTTAATTTTATTTGTTTTTTATTTTTTTGTGTTTGGTTTTTCTGTTTTCTCTATTGTTTGTTTTTTGTCTTTGTTATAGATTTTTTTGTTGTTTTTTTGTCATTTTTTTGTGATTTTTTTTGTAATTTTTTTTGTGATTTTTTTTTGTCATTTTTTTTTGTTTTTACTTTTGTTTTTTTGTGTTTTGGGAAAAAGGTTTTTTGGTTTAGTGGTTTTAATTTTAACTATTAAAATTTAAGTGCTTAGGAATCCCGTTTTTACAATTTCTATATTGAGGGGAATTTTTTGTGTATTTTTTGTTTTTTAATTTTTATTGTTTTTTGTTTGTTTTTTTTGGGACTTTTTGTTTTTTTTTTGTGAGTATGATTTATTGTGATTTTTTATTTTCTTTGTATTTTTTGTTGTTTTTTGGTTGTTTTTTGTTTTTTTCTTATTTTTTTTTTTAATTTTTTGGTGATTTTTTTGTTGATTTTTTGTTTTTTTGTGATTTTTTGTATTTTTTGTTTTTTTTTTGTTTTTTATTTGTTTTTTTTCTTTTTTTTATTTTTTTTAAATTTTTTTAATTTTTTTTGTTTTGTTTTTTGTGATTTTTTTATTTTTGTGTTCTTTTTGATTTTTGTTTTTAGTTTTGTTTTTGTTTTTGTGTTGTTTTTTGTGATTTTTTTTTGTGACTTTTCATTACAATTCAATCTAAACTAATGAATATCGTTGATATTTTAACCAAATTTAAAGTACAATAAAATTACTTACCTTTAGAAAGCGGATTCTTTTTTACATCTATAATTATTTCCGAATCGTTTTTCTTCTGGCTACTCTGATCAGCGTGTTCCAAACTGCCTCTATACGATTTCATTTGTATTTCTTTTTCTTCATCTTCTTCTTTAGCTGTATGTCCATTTTCTTTTATAACATTTTTGGACGAACGTCGTTGAGGTGGACCTTTTATCGTAAACATTTCTGTTGAGTCCGTGGACGCCAAAAGACTTGGATTTTTTTCGCTCAATCCAAGTTTCGAATAGTCAATAGGCGATATAAGTTCGTTGATAGGCTGAAAATGTCGAATGATTTGGATGAATGAATGTGAAAATTCACAAGTTAGAAAATAATTAATATTTAATACCCAAATTTAAAGGAAGAAACAATCCTTATTATACTCTTCACACTGTAAGTCTGTGAAGATTAATATATAGGTTTATTATCGAAAAATCAACATTTTTAATATTGGTACAAATTTAAAAAAAAATTGTAGCAAAATCTTTTACATCAAATTTTAAACAACTTTAAAAAATGTCTGTCCGATGTCACGTTTTTTCTCCGCACAATAAGTCAAAAACGAAAAATGATCAACTTGAAATTTTTAGTAAAAATCAAGTTCTATAAGGGGATACAATCTATTGATTAAACAATAATTGAACAAAAAAGGGGTACTAAGAGGTTCAAATATTGAACACTTTTCGAATGGCAAGTTTCCATAGGCGTGTTGATAAATAAATAAAATTTCATAAAAAATATTCCTCATCTGGTTATCAGATGAGTGAAGGTCGACCTCCAACGGTCTCTTGTACTAGTAGGTATTTTATAAATGATTAATTACCTTTATATATTTAAGAGATTTGTAGGTGTTTTTCAATTTTCTAAGACGATAAGCATCGTTTAACGGTACTTCTTTCATCAAATCATAACAAGGTTGCGATTCTGGAGTTAATTTGAATTCAATAAACGAACTTCGGTGGGATATAGTCTTATTGCTGACAAAAAAAAGTACATTGTTATTTTAAACTTACACAGAGAACATTTTCTTTATTATGATATTCATTTAATAAATTCATTACTTACTCTTTATCTGGAAACACTAGCTTGCTTAAAGCGAGCAACTTTGAATTTGTAATTTTTAGCCCAGGAACGCTTTCCTTGAGAGTTTTAATATATAACTCAGCATCTTCGCCCCATAATTTGTCCTTGGGGTCGCCTGTAACATAAAATAAATTAAAATACTTCAAAATAATCTCAAAGCCATGCATTACAATAATATGGGCGGCAGTTTTTTCTTTAAGAACAACTGCTTTTTTGGCTATTACCTCACCTGGTATTAAAAAATAAATTAATAGCTACCCAATATTTTTTTATTTTCCTGAACTTTTTTTCGGTGCGCCTATGGAATATAAGTAATAACTAAAAGACGAGGTCATAGCTCGTCGGCATAAACTACAAAGGAATTAAATGAGAGATATCATTCTGGTTATTATTTATTCCTGTGGCCTGGTCAACGTTACAACGCGATCAGATCGTATAAATAGCAACGCTCAGACCGCTAGTTTCACGCTCGCTCTGTACATGGCGTATTGAAAGACTTTAGGTGGCCGATAGTGTAGAATGATCTTAAAAAAAAGTTTCTAAAGTAATATATCAAAATCATATTTGATTTGACTGATTAATTATCTCTCTATAGATAGTTTTATAAAAAATTGCATTTTTGCAACTTTACATAACTTTTTACCCTCCCTATATGATGTTCAACTATACATTTTTGTTAATGTAATGTACTTGTTGTACATTACGATATATAGGGTATACTATAAAATAGTGTCACACACTGAACCAACTTTTTGGTTCACCCCGTATACGTGAATTATTTATAATAATATAGTGTTGTTTATAGAAAATTATATAACTTGATATAAATAATTAATTTTTAATCATTATTTTATTCGTTAAACGATTTTTTAAACATGTTTCACTTATTCATTTTAAAAATTACCCACTCTACATAAATGTTTTCCAAAAAGATTGGTATTGTATTTTGATAGTAAAAAATATCTTAGAGTCACTCCGTTAATTTTAATATTAATGAATAGAGCTAGGAATATATGCAAAACGCCATATTTTGCATATGTTGCATATATATACAATTTTTGATTTTGAATGCATATATTGACATTTTGTTAATTTTTTGGCATATATCTGACGTACTAATTGGCTGGACATATTAAAATTATACGTTTTGGACCAAAATAATATTTTGTGAAATGCCTTTACAGGTCGATTTTCTAAAATTTTGAAGGATTAACTTTTCCTTGTAATAAATTACGGTTAATGGTCTAGGTACTTGAGAGGATTAAATTATAAACCAACAAATTTTGCTAAATATCCTTTCAGGTAGTTGTATTAATATCTTCAAATTTCTAAGTTTACTTTCAACTTCAATTCAGTCTTTATTGTTGTGTTGTGTTAACCAGTGGGAAAAATGGCAAAATTAATTGAGTCGTGGGTAAAATATTATTCAGATTTTGTTGTACAAGGTGATAACCAGGTGTTTTGTAAAACATGTTCTAAAATTGTAAGTACTTTTTTATTTTATATTTTATTTTGACCTTTCATAATGGTAAATCAAACAACAGTAAAATATTATTTCAACTCGCAGTTAAAAAAAGTAGGGCAACTTTACAACGTACGCATTTATTTAATTTAATTAAAACTTCAACATCTACAGGAATTTATTTGTTTTAGATTCCATGTAAAAAAAAGTTTCAAATCGACCAACACGCGAAAACACCCTCACATATAGCAAAGCAGAAATCTAAAGACACTCGTAAAGTCAACTTCCCTTGAAACAATATTTAGAATCTGGATCGTCTAGAAGTGAACAAGCTATTTTTAATGAAGATTTATGCAAAGCTTTAGTGACTTTGAATATCCCTTTAATACGATTAAATAATCCAAATCTCCGATCATTTTTGCAAAAATACTGTAAATTTAATATTCCAGAGCAAAGTATATTACGCAAACGTGGTGTTGACAGTTTGTACATTGAGACTCGTGAAAAAATTCGTGAGATTACCGTTGGAAACCATTTCTACATTATTGTGGATGAAACAACAGACTCTTGTGGTCGATATATAGTCCATTTAATGATAGGTTCATTACGCGAAGAAATGCAAATTGGTCCATATCTAATCGCTTCAAAGCAATTAGATAAAACAAATAACTTGACAATAACTCGTTTTATCCAGACAGAATTGTCTTCGTTTTTTCTTCCGGAAGCCGTTCCAACATATAAATGTTTATTGCTGTTATCCGATGCTGTCCCGTACATGGTAAAAGCCGCACAAAATTTAAAAATGTTTTATGAAAACTTAATCCATGTTACATGTTTGGCTCATGGCCTTAACAGAGTTGCAGAATAAATTAGGTCTAACTTTCCTTTAATAAATGATTTAATTAGTAATGTAAAAAAAATATTTCTTGAAACTCCTCTAAGAACTCAATTGTACAAAGAAAAATTTCCTGAATTACAGATGCCACCGGAACCTGTGATTACTCGGTGGGGTACCTGGCTTACGCAGATAATTATGAAAAAATTAAGGAAATCATATTTGATTTTGATGATTCATCTAAGGAAATATCTAATACAAAGAAGTTGTTTCAAAATCACATATTACCAAAGCAATTAGTGTTTTTAAAAAATTATGCATTTGTATCCAAAATTATATTAGATTTAGAACAAAAAAATTTACCTTTGGTGACTTCCGTAAATTTAATTAAGACGTTTGAATCAGAGTGTAAAAATGTCCAGGGCGATATTGGAAAGACGATTTTTCATAAATTTTCAAATGTTATTTTAAAAAATGAAGGATTTATTGTTTTAAGAAACCTTGCTAATATTTATTTTGGTAACTTTGAAGATATTGATACTATTCATCCAGATATTTCAGGAAAATTTAAGTTTGCACCTATTACTTCTGTAGATGTCGAAAGGAGTTTTTCTTTGTACAAGTACATACTTACTGATAGGAGACAATCATTTAATACAGATAATTTAGAAAAACATCTAATTGTTCATTCGTTTTATAATAATGTTGATTTGTAAATAAAATTAGTTAATAATTAAATAATTATTAAGTATTATATTAGGTATTGTAAAATAAAACAAATAATAAATATTAATAAACTATTTTGATCAAATAACAAATTACTCTTATTACATATGCTCTGCATATTTTTCAATTTTTTACGCATATATTGAAGTATTTTGCGGCATATATATGCGCATGCGCATATTCAACTACTTTTTGGGTGCATATATTTGTAATAATTGGCAATTATTTTAATTAATCTAAAGATTTTACATAAAAATCTCATATAAATTTTCAAGTACCTTTCTTCATTTGACCTTAGAAATAGTAAACAGTTACTATAATATCAAAGTAAATTAAATATATGAGTTGACCAAAAATTTTAAAGAAAGCACGTCTCAATCAATATAAAAATGATGTGGGAACGAGGGAAAACGACAGTTACTGAGTGGACCGGACGTTACGCTGTCCGACTACCCACCGACGCCGATAAATCGTATATCGGGAGTTATAAAGTAATTTTTTTTAAGTTGTGCTTTAATAATAAATATCAGCCAATCAATTTAAACTTAGTGAAATCGAAACTACGTTACGAGCAAGGTAAGCCTTCCGCTTTCACTACATTAAAATTATGGCAGTTCTCTTTTTTTCATTTTTTGTCAAATTATTCAGTTACCCGCTCTTTTTAGATTTTAGATTCTTTTATTTTAAACCTATTATTTTATTTTTTCTTTTTTTCCTTTTTTTTTGTCACGGTGAGAGTGAATAAGCTCTAAGGACCTTATCCCCTGACTGTGGCTGGTGACAGTCGCTGCCTTTACACTTACAGTGTACCCCCCGTTGATGACTAGAGTCCTTTTGGCCACTACATTAGTATTTAGTGACAACAGTTACTTTCTAAGTGACGGTGGTTGTTACATATTCCTAGGTCTATTAATGAATATCAGCAAAATAAAGTAGTTTTGAGAATTCAGAGAATTCCCAAGTTACCTGTATCTCAAAATCTAGTCACAGGAGGAAAACAATTGAAACATATATAAAATTCAGCACGTACTGGCTAATTGGATACAAACCCGATGAGAGGGAGGTTCAGGAGGGGCAAAATCCCTAGGGCCCGGTCACAGGGGGGGCCGGCAGCTTTGAAAAAATAGGTTATAATACGTGGGAGGCAGACCCTTACCAGTGTTTTGCCCCGGAGGCCCACCATGGCTTTCGGCCACCCTGATTGGATAGTTACTACTAAATACATAAAACTAAATTAAAAAATAAATTTAGACTTACCTAACGTTTTAGCAACCAATTCCTTAAATTTATTGAAATCCTCTTTTACATACAATTTATTATCAAAAACGAAATGCGGTTCTTCTTTTTTTAATTTAATAACGGACTCCTCTCCGCTGTCTTCAGCAACATCGCTGGCTAACTGCGATACTTCTGTCTCTGTGGTAGACACCGATGAAGGCAAAAAAACTCTTCGTGCAAGGTTTAATTTTGGATAGGGTTTCAGTTAACTCAAACAGCAACAGTTTTTCTATAGAAAGTAGAAACTTGGCGTGGACTGGGGCCTGTTTAAGGGCTACTTTAATGAAGTTTTGGTACTGCTTGAGGACCTCCAAGATGCAGGTTTCGCGAAGCTTCAATTCCCGTAGTAACTGGTTAATCTGTATATAAATTTTGATAGTGTAAAATCTTGAAAAAGCAAGTTAGCGGCAAAAACACGAATGATTTTAGAAAAAAGACTAAAGTAGTTAATGAAAGGAATATTGTAGTAAAATCAGATTTGGCGCATTTATCCACTATTCTACAAGGTGGCGCAAAATAAAGTCCCCTATTTGTTCAACTGTTTTTGGAACACCACCTGCTGCAAAAAGAAACGTTGCAGTAAGTTATAACATTAATAACTAAGCATAAAAAAATTAAATGAAATTTTAGTTAATAAAATTAAAGTATTTTATATATTTAAAACATTATTTTAAAAATTTTTACAGTTTTTTTTACGATATTTTTTGCCATACCATGTTTTTTTGTAATTATTAATTAAAAAATTATATATTTTTAGGACAGTGTTTTATTTAGATACTCCTACCTACTTCCCAGATAGCACAGGACGTCCCATGGACGTCCTGATTTGGTCCCTTGTTGGTCCGGTTTGTCCCGGACCTAAACAAGACGTCCACTAGACTTCTGATTACAGTGAACACTAGGACGTCCTTAGAAGCACGTCCTATTTTGGTCCCGTTTCGACAAAGCGTTTAGTTTTCGGTCCGAGTCCGGGACGTTAATGGGACGTCCAAGGGACGTCTATGGGACACTTTCTATGTATTAGCATCGTTGGTCTTTGAATCGATAACTTGAAATTCAACGTTTTGTTTTTGCAAGAGTACGAGGACAGAAAACCTAACCTATCATTTATTTTCAAACAGATACAATTTTCGGCATTCAATAATTAACTTATATAAGTGAGTTAGATTAACGAAGAAAAAAGGTTATATAGTGCTATTTGTTATTTTTTTGATGTTGATGGTAAAGTGGTTATAAAGTGAAGTGATTGTTTTGTGTTGAGGTGAGAATAAGTGATGTGTATTGGCGGTAGCCGCTAACGGAAAGAAAATACCTTAATGGCGGAAAGTTGAAACAAAACTAATTTTAACAAAATTATAATACTCAGTTATGTCGACACAAGCTATAAGTAGGACCCAAAGTTTCATCTTGCCAGGCGCTGTGTGTTAAATTTAATTCATTCCTGTTTTTTTTTTGTAAACTGAAAATGTTTAACTCTAGCTAGTTTTTTTAGTACTTTCTCCAAGAAATTTTCATCACAAACGAAATTCTACTTACGTCATTTTTCATTTTCGCTAATCTTTCCTTGTTTTTCGTAACCACCTTCATGGATTCACGTATTCCTTCTTTATAGTTCTTCTTCAATGCTTCAGCTTCCTCTACACATTTATGCCTCTCCATACACAAAATGTACATCATATTGGTTATATTTTGGCATTCTAGATGATGTTTCATCATTTTCAGTTTCAATTTGAATTCCTGTTGTCCTTTTTCGATTATGAATTTCCTCTCTATCTCGCATTTCCTTAAAATTCAATAGAAATTTAAAACCAAAGAATTCAAAAGAGGTATTTGAACAAAATAAAACTTCCAATATGTTCATTTTATTGCAGCGCTTATAATAAATAAATAAATAGGAGATTAAAAATACTCCCCACTTCAGCAATCTAGCAAAAGCAGCCCAATCAAATCGACACCACTTTTATCACTATGTCATAATTGTCAAAAAGCTGTCAAAACTTTTTAAAGTTTTAAAATTATTTGACTTTTTATTAAATGCAGTGAAAAATGTTTCTAAAGTAGACGTTGGAAAAAATCTCACATGTCGCAGTGTACAATTATTTTTCTTTTTAAAAAGAAAAAGAAAAAGAAAAAGAAAAAGAAAAAGAAAAAGAAAAAGAAAAAGAAAAAGAAAAAGAAAAAGAAAAAGAAAAAGAAAAAGAAAAAGAAAAAGAAAAAGAAAAAGAAAAAGAAAAAGAAAAAGAAAAAGAAAAAGAAAAAGAAAAAGAAAAAGAAAAAGAAAAAGAAAAAGAAAAAGAAAAAGAAAAAGAAAAAGAAAAAGAAAAAGAAAAAGAAAAAGAAAAAGAAAAAGAAAAAGAAAAAGAAAAAGAAAAAGAAAAAGAAAAAGAAAAAGAAAAAGAAAAAGAAAAAGAAAAAGAAAAAGAAAAAGAAAAAGAAAAAGAAAAAGAAAAAGAAAAAGAAAAAGAAAAAGAAAAAGAAAAAGAAAAAGAAAAAGAAAAAGAAAAAGAAAAAGAAAAAGAAAAAGAAAAAGAAAAAGAAAAAGAAAAAGAAAAAGAAAAAGAAAAAGAAAAAGAAAAAGAAAAAGAAAAAGAAAAAGAAAAAGAAAAAGAAAAAGAAAAAGAAAAAGAAAAAGAAAAAGAAAAAGAAAAAGAAAAAGAAAAAGAAAAAGAAAAAGAAAAAGAAAAAGAAAAAGAAAAAGAAAAAGAAAAAGAAAAAGAAAAAGAAAAAGAAAAAGAAAAAGAAAAAGAAAAAGAAAAAGAAAAAGAAAAAGAAAAAGAAAAAGAAAAAGAAAAAGAAAAAGAAAAAGAAAAAGAAAAAGAAAAAGAAAAAGAAAAAGAAAAAGAAAAAGAAAAAGAAAAAGAAAAAGAAAAAGAAAAAGAAAAAGAAAAAGAAAAAGAAAAAGAAAAAGAAAAAGAAAAAGAAAAAGAAAAAGAAAAAGAAAAAGAAAAAGAAAAAGAAAAAGAAAAAGAAAAAGAAAAAGAAAAAGAAAAAGAAAAAGAAAAAGAAAAAGAAAAAGAAAAAGAAAAAGAAAAAGAAAAAGAAAAAGAAAAAGAAAAAGAAAAAGAAAAAGAAAAAGAATTGTTCATTTTAATAATTCTTCTTTTTGGTGGATGCATACACAGCGCCCACCAAATAATATTTTATTTTTTATTTTATCTTAAAATTTTGATGTAAGCGAGAGAATCTCCACCTAAAACAATAATTTAATTCTACCACCAACTTTTCAATTAATTGAAAAATTATTAAATACAAAAAAAAAGAAATTTATTAGCTCTATTGTTGTAGAATTGAATACGTGGACCTACAACAATAATTTAATGACTTTATATCTAAGGATTTACAGCTTGTATATTATTTTTAAAAAATAACGATTTCTTAAATTCACAGAAAAGACGTTTAAATGTTTTCCCAAAACTTATGTAAAATGTGCTACTGACGTAAACCAGTTACTTACGTAAGTTCACTCTTCAAACTTATCGCCATCATTTCTTCCTGTCGACAAAGCTCTTCCAAAAAGTGTGTTGTAATGTTGTTGGTGGTCTGTTTGATCGCTTCTTTTATTTTGGCCTTCCAGCCTTGCTTTATAACGGTGTTCTGGTCTGTTGTCATTCCTCCGTAGTCTTTCTTTATTTTCTTTTTAATTTTTTTCAGTTCTAACGCCTGAAATCAAATCAGTATAATGGGTTAAGTAAAGTAAGTTTATAGTTTCAAAATTATTTCATCACTCAATAGTTTGGATTATTTTAAAATAAAACATAATCTTTTGAAAATTGGACCATGGATGACTGTTCTTTAACGAAACAAGAATAACATTTTTGAAGAAATAAAGGTTGTCATGTACACACTAGAGCAGTGGTCGCCAACCTGTCGATCGCGAGCTACCGGTAGCTCGCGGAGGCAATTCTGGTAGCTCTCACAACGATTTTAATTTAAAAATACAAACTGCAAAAATCAGAGAAGCTTTCGAAAATTCCACAAAAAAATCTAATTGTAATAGTATTAAACATAAACAGCGGCAACGTTGCGGTGAGCGATCTGCCGCTGACGCCATCAAGCTAGAATCGGCTAGAACCAACCAGCCGCACCAGCGCGTTAGTGTTCGAGAACGATCAGGATTGCTTTGAACGGGATAAATACGCACGGCGCGGCGACATTGCGCTTAGTTTAAAACTGAACGCGTAACCAACGTCCAGCGGTTGGGTTAGTAGAGAACAACAAAAAATAATATTATGGCAAGCAGTTGTAAGAAGGTAAAGACATACCACTTTCATTCGAAATGGGAAGAACAATACTTTTTTACAGAAGTTAAAGATAAAAATGTGTGTTTGTTGTGTAATACTTCGGTCTCCGTTGCTAAAAAAGGAAATATTGAGAGACATCATAAAACTGTACATTCTAATTTTGAAAAATCATTCCCACTACATTTTGCTGCCAGAAAGGAGAAACTGAAACAGTTAAAAAAGCAGTTAATTGGACAACAATCAATATTTTAAAGATTCCACTCGACCATTCACTGTTGGGTTCTAATTAACAGTGCTGTTCCTAAAGTGGCGCTGGGAAACAGTAACAAAGCCTACACAGAACACGAGGCGAAATAACCTTAGCAGTTGAAGCCGATGACACACCAAAAAAAAACAGTCGACAAAAATAAGGCTGCAACTGAAGTATCGTACCGTGTGTCCCAGATAATTGCACAAAAAAAGAAACATTATGAAGACGAAAAAAAGAAACATTATGAAGACGGGGAAATGATAAAACAGGCGTTTTTAGAAGCTGCTGATTCGTTATTTGCCAACTTTAGAAATAAAGGCGAGATAGTTTCAGCTATAAAATCTATGCAACTTTCTGCTAATACAGTGATGAGACGTGTAGAAGTAATGAGCAATGATATTTTTTTACAGTTAAGAACTGACTTAGATAACTGTGTTTATTTTTCACTTCAACCGGATGAATCAACAAATGTCGTTGACACTGCCCAGATGGCCGTGTTCGTCAGGATAGTTTTTAGTGATTTTACGATTAAAGAAGATCTTTTGAAATTTATTCCACTGAAAGGACACACTACTGGACAGGAGTTGTTTTCTCATTTAAAAAACATTATTTCTTCCGAGAAAATTCCAATATCGAAAACGGTAGGCTTGACAACCGATGGCGCTCCAGCTATGGTGGGTTGTGATAAGGGTCTGGTGGCGTTATGTCGTAAAGATGAAACTTTTCTGCAATTTCTCTGTTACCACTGCATTATCCATCAGCAAGCATTATGTGGAAATTTCCTGAAACTAAACAACGTTATGAAACTGGTGGTAAAAATTGTGAACAAGATTAGAGCTCAAGCGTTACAAAGAAGATTATTCAAAACCTTGGCCGATGAAGTTGACTGTCAATACGGGGACCTACTCCTTCACTCTGAAGTCCGATGGTTAAGTAGATGACGGGTGCTGAAACGTTTTAATGATGTCCTATCTGGCATAGTTCAATTTTTCAAACAACGCGATGAACCGAATTCGGAACTAGACAATTCAATCTGGCTTAGAGATTTTGGTTTTCTCGTGGACATTACAGAGAAATTAAACGAACTTAATTTGCAGCTTCAGGGGAAAGACAAAGAACTAGCGGAAATGATTTCTGATATAAAAGCATTTATCAAAAAGCTGGAGTTTTGGGAACAAAACCTAATTAACAGCGATGCCAAGCATTTTCCTATTCTTTCAGAAAAAATATCTCAAAATCCATTAGAACCCTATGACACCAAATATCATGTAGAAATAGTTTCTACCCTGAAGAATAACTTCAAAAATCGTTTTAAGGATTTTAACGAAATGGCTTTAGTAGCGCAGTTTGTTGTTTCACCGTTTATGGAAATTGATATCCAACAGTTTGCAACTTGTGTTATGCAAAATTTTGGCGAAGGCATCGCTGCAACATAAATGGAAGTAATTGAGTTTCAAAATGATTTAGCCTTAAAATCATTAGTCTCAAGTACCAAATGTATCTGGCCTATTGTAAATAAAGACAAATATTCAGTTCTATTCCGTGTTGCCTTGAAAGTGAAAGCATTATTCAGTTTAACCTATTTGTGTGAATCTTCTTTTTCCAATATGAAGTTTATTAAGAACAAATATCGTAATCGACTTACAGATGAACATTTGGATAATTGTATTCGAATGGCTGTATCAAATTATACTGCAAACATTAAAAAAATTATCGATGAGTCTGAGTGTCAGCCTTCTCATTGAACGTGAATGATAGTGTGTTACTTTTTTGTTGTTATTATTAACTATTTTTAAATCTTACGTGACATGCCGTTGTGACTGGATAAAAGTTTGTGTTTATTTTTCAAACACCTTCGTTTGGTAGGTAGGAATGTAGCTATGAACAAGTACGTACTAGTAATATTAGTTATTTTGTTATTAGTTTATTATTAGTACCTATGTATTATGTATTACCAGTTAAATAGTAAAATAAATACATATAATGATAAATTAACTGTGGATTATTTCATTTACGTTGCGTTACGTGGCTTCCGTGTGGGTAGCTCGCTGTTTATTCCAAAATTAACAAAGTAGCTCAACACATTGAGAGGTTGGCGACCACTGCACTAGAGGTTCTTTATATCTAAATGTAAAATTATTTCTTTATTGTCATATAGCTCAATTTATTCTTGCGGACATGTTCGTTAAGCCATTAACTATAGTTTTTTTAAAAAAAGTATATTGTCATTTAAAAATTTACCATTTTCTGTTGGAACGTTTTCATGAATTCTTCTGCTTTTTCCGCACAAATTATTCTTTCTTTGTTTTTAGCCTCATTGAGTTGGTCTTCTATGCTCTTCTCAAAGGCATCTAATAACTGCTGTCCCTGATTTCTTAGTGCCTGCTCTCTCTCCTTGTACATGTGTCTCAGAAACTTCTGTTCTATACGCCCACCGATGGCTAAAATAATATACAGGGTTGGCCAAACCTCTGTCGTAGTTCTATAACTCCTACTATGCAAATCTTAACGATTTATTTGATGTATACCTGTCAATGGTGGCCAATACCAAATATCCCAAAATTATTTTCTTGTGTACAGGGTGGCCCAATAGTAAATTAGGCAAATCACTTGTTTTTTTTAAATGGAATGACCCAACTTTTTTTACAATTTTAGGTACTCTATGGTCACTAGTACATACCCATAAAATATTGTTTCTAACATCTCACCCCTTTCGCAGAAAAAAAATTTACCAAAAAATATTACATTTTCAGACGCCTATTAAAATATTCAGTGCTCTCTCGAATTTGATGTTAGAATTTAAAAAACTACGATTGTATAAAGACAATAGACCAAAGATTTTTTTGGACCAAGTTTGAATTTTTTATTTTGTACAGGGTGGTCACAAATTAATTTCACTTTCCAAAAATTTCGAGGGAAATTTTTTAAAATTTTTCAAATGTATTACCCTGTATTTCTATTCATCAACTGAAGGTGAATTTCATACCCTTCCACTTCCCTATGTACTTTCCTATACCTATCTGTCGCCGTTATAAAATAAATTCAAAAGGAAGAAAATTACGATAATAAAATTTATTTGAAATTTATCCTAAAACATAAATTTACATTTTATAAAAGATACTCAAAATGTCTGCCATTTTCTCTAATGCATACATTTATTCGTTGGGCGAATGATCGAGAAACGTTTCTAAGCATATCAGGTGTAATGGAATGGAAAGCTTGCACTATCCTTTCTTTCATATTTTCAGGTGTTGTAGGTGGCGTAAGATAGACTAGATTTTTAATATAACCCCACTAAAAATAATTGGGTTTTGTTAAGTCAGGTGATCGAGCTGGCCATTTTTTGGACCATTTCTACCAATCCATCTATTTGGAAACTTTTCATCTAATTCATCTGCCACTTCGCGTAAAAAATGCGCTGCTGCCCCATCATGTTGGTACCACATTGTTAGTCTTACAGCAAGGGAAATGTTTTCAAGTAAAGTAGGAAGATGATTTGCTAAAAAATCTAAATACATCAGACCATTTAAGTTGCCTTCAAAAAAATACGGCCCAATAACATGATCCCCAATTATACCTCCCCAAACATTTACACTCCATCTTTCTTGGCTATGTGTTCTGATAATGTTAGGATTTTCCGTGGAATAATAGTGGAAATTATGTCTTGTAGATTCATCAGAAAACAGCACTCTATAAAAAAAAAAATGGATTTTGTTGCAGTTTAGTTTGTGCCCAGTTACAAAACACCATTCTATTATCAAAATCAAATCAAAATCAAAAATCAAAATATTGATGCTGTTTTAAAATCCTTTTAACGGATGTTCTCTGTTTTAAAATCCTTTTAACGGATGTTCTAGTTATACCTACTACTTTGGCAATCTTTTTTTGACTTACATGAGGATCTTCTATCGCTGTCAAAATTACAGATAATTGGTTATCATTAACAGTAGCACGTTTGTCAATTATTGGTTTTTTATAAGCAACATTTCCTGTTTCGGTAAATCTTTCATGTAACTTTTCAAAACTTTTTTGATCAGGGATGCGTCTATCGGGATATCGTTGATGATAAATTGTTTTTGTCAATAAACAATTTCTGTCGGATTCTCCCAAAACATAGACCATGTCAATTAATTCGTTTTTCGTAAAATTCATTATTAATAGATGAATTATCGCGATCAGTAAAAATAACTTGACACTTCATTAATAAATAATCTGATACTTCATTAAGACCCAGCCTACTTGATTGAATGTTCACTTTCAATAAAACCACTGGTAGAAATTGGATTTTTGATAGATCAATATCTTTTTGGAATTTACTTTTAAACGACGACAGATAGGTATAGGAAAGTACATGGGGAAGTCGAAGGGTATAAAATTCTCGTTTCATCGATGAATAGTAATACAGGGTGTTCTATTTGAAAAATTTGAAAAAATGTCCTAGAAATTTTTGGAAATTGAAATTAATTTGTGACCACCCTGTACAAAATAAAAAATTAAAACTTGGTCTAAAAAAATCTTTGGTCTATTGGCTTTATACATTTGTAGTTTTTTAAATTCTAACATCAAATTCGAGAGAGCACTGCATATTTTAATAGGCGTCTGAAAATGTAATATTTTTTGGTAATTTTTTTTTTCTGCGAAAGGGGTGGGATGTTAGAAACAATATTTTGTGGGTATGTACTAGTGACCATAGAGTACCTAAAATTGTAAAAAAAGTTGGGTCATTCCATTTAAAAAAAATTAAGTGATTTGCCTAATTTACTATTGGGCCACCCTGTACACAAGAAAATAATTTTGGGATATTTGGTTTTGACCACCACAGGTATACTTCAAATAAATCGTTAAGATTTGCATAATAGGAGTTATAGAACTACGACAGAGGTTTGGCCAACCCTGTATAATGAAAATGTTGTTTTGATGGTTATTTTTCTGAAGTACAAGATATCGACTTAAATCGACCTTTCCTCATCTTTTTTCATAATTTTCCTAGTAAAATATATATTTTATATGAAAATTCGGAAACAAATGTCAAATATCATCTCCGAACTCCAAAAGTGAAAAGCGAAATATTTGACGGAGCCCTAAAAATATTTCTAAAAAAAATCCTCGTTGCTCTAGTCTTTTGTCAGGTCCCTCCCGTTTTTTTTTGAGCCCCTACAAGAAAATTCTCAAAATCATATAACCCTTCCTCTGGCCTTTAAAAGAAAAGGCCCTCATACCAAAATCTGTATAAATTGCTTAACGGTGAGTAATGATATTCAGAAATGATTTATTTTGGCTTTGGTCATCCTTTAAACAAAAATAATAAACGAAATGTATATATACCCATTATTCCAGCATGGTTTAAATCTTTCATATGTCGTTTGGTTGGCGGAGATTTCAATACATATTTCTCCTTAATCAAATCGCTTGGGGAATCCCACATGTCCCCATACGGCGGACCCTCATTGGTTTGTTCGATTAAATGTCGAAGACCGACATCGCATTCTTCGTATACAAGTCTAGCCAATTTTCCTATGAGTACCTCAGCCTCCTTCAATGGTGGAACGTATTTGTTGTTGATGAGCGACTGACGTTTTTTATAATAAAGACTGGGTTCGAGATCAATTTTAGTGTCAGGTTCTCTAAATTCCAGAGGCGGGCATGGACCCCATGACCACAGGTTTCCTCGCCCTCAAAAAAATATGATTTAATAATAAGTTGAAATTAATGAAATTAATTTTTAGAAACTAAGGCTGTATGTCACGATACTAAATTTAGAACGAAGTTAATTTTACTAAAAAAAGTCACGTTGCAAACAGCAAATTTAATACTAAAAAATAAATTAATTAACTGGAACTTGTTCTATTTTCTACTAAATTTAGTACTAGTACTAAAAGTGCGTAGAAATGCTGCGCATAAGTTTTTCACAGAAAAAGTTAACACAACGTGGTCTTTTCTGTACCATTTTGTTTTTGGTTAGCGAGAATTTTGCATTATCGCCTTGGATACATTTCGCTTGTTTCATTTTGTAGGTTTTATTGCGTTTTTTCGTGGTTTTTAGTAGCATTATTGTATGTGGTTGTTGTCATGTCAACTAATGTCAAATTCATTAAAAACACCTTTTACTTTACTTGTCTATTTTACACAGATATATCATGGTGGAAGAATACAGGTGAAGCGGTAAGCGCAGAGATAACAAGGGAGATATAACTACTCATTCATAAAATAGAATATCTATGATGCCAACATCAAATTAGTCAATTTGGCGATCAGGAGAGGAAAGACGTGATGTGTGAGGTAAGGGAGGGGATATACTGCAGGACTGAAGGCCGTACACGTTTGTTAGTCGCAGCGGAGTTTAAATAAATTGCATTGGCGTACCCCAGGAACGAGATAAATTAAATTATTAAAAAATATATGTATTTTTAACCCCGTAAAAATTTTTGTATTTTAATATAGATATATTGAGCAGTAGTACAAATATGTTTTCTGCAAAATTCGTTGAGTTTTTAATTCATTAACGATATATAAATTTAGAAGACTTTTAAAGGCATCTTTTTTTACAGATGATAGAAATTTGTATATATTTCTAATATGCACCAGAGTTTAATCGGGCCGTACAAAAGTTATCTAAATAAAAAAACTGAAGCTAATTAAAAAATATACGATAATAAATAAAATAATACTATTTCTATAAAATTTGCTGTCGCTAATTTATAAAAGTCACTGGTTCTAAATATCCAGGGTTTGTTCTTAGATCAAACAATAATTTTTTTTAGTCCACATGGATATTAGCTTATCTACGTACAGAATACAAAACGAAAAAGTATGCTATTGCATTCATTTAAACGGATATATTTCATATCTATTCTAGGTAGTTCATATTTTGGTCACCCAATACAATTCTTTTTAAAATGTTAAATAAGTGACAATTGTGTCAAACTAATCGTCAGTATATTCAATTATTGAGATTAAATATACATTAAAATGAGTTATTTTTGTGTCGAATAGATAAATAGTAAATATTTTTTTTACATAAAACTAAGAGGCGTCACACTATAAAACTCAAAGAAAATAATAATGTAAATATTCTTTTAAAATCCATGTTCAAAACTATCTGCCTCAATGTGTAAACTGTTGGTATTTCCAATGAATCAATCAATCCCTTATTTATAAATAAACAATTTATATCCTATTTCCTGGAATTGTTTTAATCCTACTTTCTATATCAAAACAAAAATAGAATTCTAAACAGGTAGGTAATCAATATGTATTTATGGACATATATTAATAATCTTTATAAATACATAATTTTATTTTTTTAAGAGAGTATTTCTTTTAAATTAGGTTTTAAGTGTTTATCAAAATAGTTCTTGAAAATTCTACCTGAATGCAATAGCTAAAAATTACAAGTAAAATATTTATTCCTATTTTTTTTTTTATTTATGAAATTGACAGTAATGTTCTGAATTATTTCTAAAAAAAAAAATTGTACCTATTTAAAATTAAGTGCTAAATATTATTTTTGCTGTTTTGATAGAATAATGTTTATCCGCTGAAACAAGGGATTTCAAAGAACTAAAATATACCGGGTGTTCCAATTAAAGTGTTACAGCTAAAGACCGCCTATTATAAAAGAAACGTATCAGACGAAAGTATTATAGTTTTGTGGGGAAAAAGTTTTGGCTAAAATCGTTTTTTATAGCTAACCATAATATAGTCAACTTTTTTTTCGTCCAGCAAAATTTTCAAGTAACTGTTACTCAAAAAGTAAAAGTCGAACAAAAAAAATATTTCCATCAAAAGTTTCTTATTTTTTTATGGACTTTAAGAATATGAAAAAAAAAATAATGGGGTTCCAATTTAATAAACAAAGTCCATCTCGATATGGCCATAATATGGTCAGCTATAAAAAAATTAAATTAGCCAAAATGTTTCCCCCAAAAAACTATAAAACTTTTGTCTGAAAGTTTTTTTCTAAGATACATATTTTCGGCGGTATTTAACTGTAACACTTTAATTTGAACACCCGGTATATTTAGAATTTTTGCTTCTTAATGTGATTTATTTATTTAATTGATCCTAATGTACTGAATTATTAGTAGGTACGAAATTTTTTTTTAATTTTGTGATAAAATATTGCATGCTTTCTGCTGTTTTGGTAAAAATTTTATCCATGGAAACGCGAACCTTTAATCAAAGTCGATTGTAGATTTCTCAAGATTTTTTTGTACAGTGAAATAACAATAATTTTTTGACATGCCTAGGTACTAAAAACAAAAGTTTTGCCAAATAACATTACCTATGAAACTTTTTTCAATTAAATTGAATCATTTTAAAACCCGTTTTAAAGAGATTTAATAAAAAATGCAGAATTTTTACACAAATTCGATTTTTACATAAGAATAACTAGGTACTTTGAGATTTTTAGGAATATTCCCAGTACCAATTTTAAAATTTCGCATCTTCTCCTGTTTTGTTAAGGCTAATTAACAACCATGGTTAATTCAAAACATTAATAATACTAATAATTTAAAAATATATAAGATACTTTTCGTAATTGGTACGTCTATGATAAGTAAATTCTAACCTATAAATACTTACATATGAAACGAAGAATTTGGGTCCAATTTGTCTTGTTTTTTACAAATTTTGCACTGTTTCACCATTTTTAAAGTTTGTATGTTAACAAAATAATGGGAAATCACTTTCACAAGAAAAAACTGAGAAAATCCGATGAACAATAACACTAAACAATCTCTACAACGCCAACTGTCAAAACAAGTTGATGGAATTATGAATGAATATTTTATATTCCGTTGTCTAAGCTCACAATAAACAACGTAATATGCCCCGCCTACAAAATACTAGCTGTTGCCACATCTCGTAAAAAATACTTGATATTTAATATACCACTAACAAGTTTTGGAATTTATTGAAAATAATTACATCTAATTTAGTGAAATTATATCTAATTTAGTTAAATTTGATATAACAAATGATTCAACATTTTTTGGGTTCAGTTGCAGTAAAATAGGTTGAATTATTTTAGCTCTTTTAATATATGTAAATAATTGTGTAAAAAAAACGAGAATAATGAAATAGGCATATGACAACAGCGGATATTATACCCTAGTGTGTCCCTTAGAATATATCTTATTCACGACAGCACGATATTTGTAAGTAACTACATCTCCTGTTATCTCTGGGTAAGCGGTACGAAATTTGGTCAGTCTTGCGCATGACGTCACCTTCGGAGCATATTTTTGTTTTGCCTATGTCTCCAATGTTAAAAAGCGACTTTTAAAGTTATTCTAATATTTTCCTGGTAGTGTTTAGAAGTTTATAGATATATTTATCTTAATATTTAATATCATTTCTATATATCAATAAGCCTGTTTAGAAATTATTGGTACGTATTATTAAATTAATTTCTAATTAAGTTGGTAGTGTAATTGATATAAAGTTAGGTTATGTAACATTTTTGTTGTATTTTAAAGATAAAAAAAATAGTTTCTATTCATTATTGTTATTTTAATATATCATTATTATTATTATATTATTGGTACATTAAAATCTACTATATTTTAGGGTGTGTAGTTACTAACAAAATGCCAGGTTGTGCAGTGTTTGGCAGCAAGAACTATTCAAGAAAAACAAAGGGAACAAATATTAAGTATTTTGGATTTCCGAAAACAGATATAGCCAAAGCCTGGGTCAACGGTTGCAGGTGAAAAGATACAATTAATTTCAAAAATGGTATGATTTTTGCAAACCTAATTTGAATACGATTCATTTTATGTCTTGTTTTTTTTAAGCTTGTATTTGTTCCATACATTTTTCGAAGAATAGTTTTGAAATACCCTTAAATTAAACTACTCCACTAAGACTGGCAGAAACTTAAAACAAACGGCAGTTCCTACTGAAAATCTCCCATTGAAAAAAAGACAATTGTCTGCAGAAAGTGACGATAGATTAAGAAGGCAGGCAAAAAGATATCGACAAACATTTATTGAGAGCTTTGTTAATATTTCGGGGCATTCCAGACAATTGTCAACTGCAGACCAGGACAAGGAGAATCAAAGTTTGGAAACAGACACTCAAAATATATTGGTATCATCAGAACTAGAAACGTATGTACAAATTTACCTTATTAACAAAAAATGTGGCTTTGAAAAGAAAATTACACAACTTAGCATGTACTAATTAACATTACAATCATTTCAAAACAGTTTTTTTATTAAATATTAAACTTTGAAGTGATAATTGCTTTTATTTCAATATTAACTGTTATTGTTTCAGATGTGACCACCGAAATGAAATTATTATTTTAGAGAAAACTATTAAGAGTCTTCGTGAAGAACTAAACAAAATTACTGAAAAATGCAACAAATCAAATATAGAAATACTTTCATTGAAAGAAGAAATTAGCCAGTTGAAAAATAATTCTCAAGTGGAAATTCAGGAAAGTAAAGTAAATGTTTCACTCCGGGTCAAATAAATGTTTTATACAATGAAAATAAAAAAAGAATTCGTTGAAGTTCGGATGACAGAGCATCCACAATCTCCCTAAGAAGCATTCGTCCTAAGGCTTATAGATTTTAAAAACTGTTCATTATCCTTTACCTGAGTTTACTACCTTAAGAGACTGGGCTAAATGTTTAAATTTAGAACAAGAAATATACATTATAAA